GCTGTTGCAGCCACTTGGGGAATAAACCAGCAGATGGAAGAATTTTCTGTCTCCCCCTCTGTAAATCTGACTTTCCAGTAAAAAAAGAATAAATCTTAAAAAAAACAAAGAAACAGAATGCCTGACTAGCAAGAAGGTGAGGCTGAGCCCTGAACTGAAACTCTTCCATGCTATGTTCCTTGAGATGTTCATTCCTATCTCCTTCCCAGTGTCTAATTTGGAAACAGATCTATGTTTATGTATGTCCATATACTCAAACTGCAGAGTTGGAGAGGAAGAGACAAACAGAAAACTTGCTCTTTACTGCTTCAGTCCCCAGATGGCTTCAATGGCCAGTGCTGTGCCAGGCTGAAGCAAAGAACTCCCACATGGATGACAGGAGCCCAAACACCTGGGCCATCTTCCTCTGCTTGTCCTGAACCATTAGAAGGGAGCTGATCAGAAGTGGATCAGGCAGGTCCTAATCCAGCGTCGGTTGCTGACATAGCAGGCTGCAGCTTATCCTACCACACCACAATGCAAATTTGATGTGCACCTTGAACAAATGCAGGTGTTTTTCTGGATTGTAATGAATAACAGTTTTCTTTATTTCATTGGTAAAAGTAGCTAGAAGAGGACCTAGCATATTGTGTTTAATTTATTTAGAAATTTAGTGAGTGTGTTCTACTCTACTACACACTGAAGCTAGGGGTGGTCTTGGGTTATTCCCTTGTTTTACTGGTGGAAAGGAAAGGAAGAGAGACACAAGAACATCTTCAGAGGAGAAGGCCCTGGGAGAGTCGTAGCTCAGGCCACAGCCTGGCCCTTGTCTTCAGACCGTGAACAAGAAGAATTCAATACATGCTTGTTACATAAACAGAAGTATAAATTCATATATTAATATTATTCTGCTTTGTATTATGCTGCTTTGTTGAATTGAAACTCAAGTTCCAGCACTTTTGATTAGTCAAAACTGCTAATTTTTCATCCTTATTGTGTACACCTTTATCTTGGTGACTACAAATGTTGGCTGCCTCAGATGTGACAACCATTTTTTCTTGAAGTTTTTAGGGCTAATTATGTCAGTGAACTTGCCACCATACGTGGTTGAATGTATTTTTAAAATGTAGAAGAACCTTTTCCCATGAAATATTTTTTGAAAGGAGGAATTTCAAATGCACAGCAAGTGGAAGGGATAGTGTAACAAATATCTGAATTCCTTCATCTAGAGTGGGCCAACTCTGTTCTGTGGACCTGGCCCGGCCCAATGCTTGCTGCTGTAGAGAAGATGAATTTAAATACTTATGTGCATGTTCGTTTATTGGTGATCTGCTGCAACAACAGTGTTGGTCTGTTGTAACACAGACCACCATGTAACCCACTAGGCTGAAAATACTTATTATTTGATCCTTTGCAGAAAGGTTTATTGACTTCAATCTAGATTCACCAGTTACTAGTATTTTATTATATTTGCTTTCTTTTTTTAATGGATGTAATTGATTTTTTTTGTAAGGAAGCTTTTCAGAGAGAGAGGGCGTAATATAGAGATCTTCCATCTGCTGGTTTTCTCCTCAAATGGCTGCAACGGCTGGGGTTGGGCCTGGCCAAAAACAGGAACTAGAGTGTTTTCTGGGTCTCCCACGTGAGAGGCAGATGCCCAAGCACTTGGGCCTTCCTCCATTACTCTCCCAGGCACATTAGCAGGGAGCTGAAATGGAAGTAGAGTAGCTGGGCCTCAAACCAGCACCCATAAGGAATGCCAGCATTGTGGGCAGCTGCTTTACCCCTATGCCAGAATCCCCAACCCCATAATTCTTTTCTTTTTATAAGTTACTTATTTTATTTGGAAAGAAGATATACATAGAGAAGGATAAACAGAAAGATCTTCCATCCTCTGATTCTCTCCCCAAGTGGCCACAACAAGCCGAAGTTGAGCCAATCCAAAGCCAGGAGCCAGGAGCCTCACGCTTCCTCCAGGTCCCCCATGCCAGTGCAGGGTCCCAAGGCTTTGGGCCATCCTCTGCTGCTTTCCCAGGCCACAGGCAGGAAACTGGCTGGGAAGTGGAGCAGCTTGGACACATACTGGCACCCATATGGGATCCTGGAATGTGCAAGGTGAGCATTTAGCCACTACGCTGTTGCACTGGGCCCACATAATTCCTTTCTTTCTCTTTTCACAGAGATATATTAATATTCCTTCTGCTTTTCTTTCTCCCTCCCTTTCTACTTCCTTTTCCCTTCCCCTGCTTTCTCCTCATTTTACTTTTCTCTTGTTATATGTATCAACAGACACACACACTTATTCTCCCCGAATATTTGAAAGTTGTGCTACTTTATGACCCAATCTTAAATAAGCCACATGTATGATTAAAACTAAAATTACTCTCATAGAACTGCAGTATTGTCATCAAACTCATAAAATTCACACTCATTCACCAATAAAACCCAATTGGATTGCCCATGTTTAAATTTGACTTGATATTCTCAAATTTTGTGGGAATCTAGAGTCCAGTCACAGGTGATACCTTGCATTTGAACAGCATGCACCTTTAATCACTAGATTTTGTTTTTTTCATGACATTGGGATATTTTTTTCTCCAAAATCTCCTAAAATGTTCTGGTAACGATTGCTTAGTCTCAACAACCTTGTTAGCTCTGCATTAGCATGAGCTAAATATAATTGTGATGAAGTAATTCAATGTCTCCTACTTCTCCCTTGGGATCGAGACACTGTTTTGGGCTTCTGAACTTAAAGCATGAGGATGTGGGCTTTGCTTGAAACTGCAAATGTGGAAAACTCAGAGTGTGCAGAGCTGAGCAGCCAAGAACACACAGCATGTGCTTTGTGTGACCGAAGGCACAATCCTTTGCGCCTGCTCCAGTGGCCTGCTCTTAGTAAGCTGTTGGCCCAGCGGCTCTTCCTTCTGGCTTTTCTTTAGACTGGGGCCTGGCTCTCTGCCAGCATCATTAGGTTGCAGCAAAGAACTGGAAACAGACCTGCAGTTATTTAAATCTTCCAGCCCAAAGTGTTCATGCTGGCTGGCAGCACAAAGCTTTTGTGTTTGGGCCACTGTTGAATGGAGCATAGCACTCAAGGGTGCAGCTGAGCATCTGGTTGTGCATGTAGGCAGAGCATCTCACCTCACAGATTTTCCTGAGTTTCTGGAGTGCCACAATCATGAGCCTCTTAAGAAGCTTATGGTCACCAGATCTATCCTTTATTGTGGTCTCCCATAGAGAGCACCAACATTTCCTCTTTGCTTTTCTCTGAAAGGAAGCACCCAGAGTTACAGGCCAGTCCCAAAGATCCAAAGAAAACCCTCAGCAAGATTGCCCAGGTCTGTGCTAACCACCACCTTTGGTTTGGGGTTGCTTCAGTCGTAATTCAAGGGGTTTGCTTGCTTCTTATGAATTGTGGAGTTGTGCAACAGGTGCACGCCTTTTTGAGCATGATGTCTTCACAATTATCCAAGGACTAAAACCAGTAGTGCCTTCCAAGAATCAGAGCCAAATACCTAAGGGAAGGATGGGGCACATGAATGTGAGGATGTGTGTGGTTGTGGGAGGAAGGGAAGAAAACTTTCATGCCTGGAGGGACCTCATTTCTATCCATGTATCCACTGGGAGCAGGCTTCACAGCTAGGTGACTGGCTATGTGTATGCCTCAACTGCTCATTTGTAAGATGAAGATGATAAGAGTAGCTGCTTCACGTGGCTATTTTGAGATTAAAAGAGACCAGCCCAGCTCCTTGGCAAATACTCCATGAGTATAAACTAAGGATGTTAGATGTTTCACACAGCTTCCCAAATCTTCTTTGGTAGCGAAAGCCTCATAACCTCTTTCTTGACTTAAAAACAGTGAGTAAATGGTATAAATAGCATAGTAATAATGATCATGAGTAATTCTGCATAGTGAGTTATATCATAATGGCAAGTAAGTAGTATTCAATAAAATAGTAAATCATGTTGTGGTGCAGTGTGGTGAGATAGCATCCTGTAGTTCAGTGCCAGTCTGAGTCCTGGTGGTTCTGCTTCTGATCCAACAAATGCATTTGGAAAGGCATATTTGGGTTCAACTACTTGGGTCCCTTCTACCAACACAGAAGATCTGTACAGAATTCTGGGTTTTGTGGCCATTTGAAGAATGAACCAGTGGTCAGAAGATCTTTGCCCACAACCCCACTCTATCTTTTGAATCGATGATGAAATAAATCTTTTAAAAAGAGTGGATAAAGTTTAAAAGAAAGTCTTTTTTTAAAAGAAAAAACTTCATTCGTGAGCTTTTATTCATATATTAACCAAATTTTTTTTAGTTTTTAGTAATATTTCATTGTAGTGATTCTCATATCAATATGTGCTCATAAATATGCAAATAATAAATTATGTATGCACTTGTTTTGTTTTTACTCCTCACTTTATAAGTTACTATTATCAAATACATACCCACATGTGACCCTCATACTATGATTTCTAATAAATCTATTGTTTTTATATATAATTTAGTTTATAGTCCACAAAAATGATTTCAGTCAAAAACCACAAAGGCTACATAAAAGATATAAGTTAATTAAGTGATTTATTTTAGAAGATCTATTAACTAGGGAAACTTGGTGAGGTTGAGAAAAACTTCTGAGAATCAAAACCTATTTTTTAAGATGTCATTTTGAGTGAGTCTAGCAAAACCTTTTGAAGCAATAATGGAAATATCTGGATTTTTTTTAAGTATCACTCCCTTCAAATGATGCTAAATTTTTATTTGCACTTTTATACAAATGTGTCGAGCTAAAGGGGCAAAAAAAAAAAAAAAACCAACTTGGCCGTGCCTGTGGGTTTGGAAGTCTGAAGTGTCTCTTTACCCAGACATTTCCTAACAATGTATAATTTTGTTTTGCAACAAGCCAAGATTTAGAACTGACCCTTGCTTCCTTAATGCCTGGCAGCCCTTCTACAATTTAGACAATTGAAGGGGAGGAGCTAGTTCATAAACTAATACAGACATGAATTTCTTTTCTTCTTTTCAGGACAATATTATCTTATTCCTGAGAGGTTGTAAAGAGCTGGGCCTTAAAGAATCTCAACTGTTTGACCCAAGTGACCTCCAGGACACATCCAACAGAGTAACAGTCAAGTAAGTAATGCACGATTTATGTTTAAGGAAAGCTGCTTTGTGGTTTGATTTATAAACTGTGTGAATGATATTGTGAAGTCCTAAGAGGAAGAGAACTGGGATGTCTAATAAGACAATAATATGAAGGTAAAAAATCAAGTTTTCAAACAAGACACATTGGCCTTCCCTCTGGAAATAACTTTCATCAGCATGGAATATTATTTTTTTCAAATGTAAAATTCAGGCATAGAGAACCAGAATATTAAGAAAGAAATGCTAAGTGAAGCTTGATGGAAACTTAAGCAAGAATGTGCACAGAATCTGTGTATGTATGTGTGTATGTGTGTGAGAGAGAGAGAGAGAGAGAGAAAGAGAGAGAGAGTGTGCATGTGTGTATGTGTGTGTTACAAGAAAACCCTTTTCTTGGCTCCAGTTGGACATTTGAATAAGCTCTGGGAAGACCACAAACTAGGTAAACAGATCTGAACTCTGTTTGTTATGCAGGGAAGGCATGAGATGATGGGGAAATTGCATCTTTATTTACAGTTGTAACTGTTTTCTCATGTGTCGGTATCAAGTTCTTTGGAGATGGATCACTGGCTCTTTGGCCATGTGCTGACTGTATCTACTCAGCAAGGTACATTGGCAGTCAAAGAATTCTTGGAGCCAAATGTTATAGTGAAAGAAAAGGCAGAGTATTCTGTGTAAAAAAATAACTGGTGTCCAAGGTAATGAGAAGAAATGTCCTTTCAAGATGGCAGAGAGAACTTTTTAGGAGTGCCTTAGACCTTACCAATTTCCTATAAAACATTTTCCACTTTACTTAATTAATACTTGGCATGACTATAGCTTAGTAACAAGCTTAATTGCGTAGATTGGGCCTGTGGACTGGCAACTTTTCTTCTTTTGATTTCTTTTGGGGTCATTTTATAATGGAAGAATTGAAAAGAGAGAAGCCAAAATTTAGAACCATTAAGTTTATATTGTTTGCTGATCTTTATTTAGGAAAATATATATAATAAGGGAAAATGAAATGAAAACCACTGAATTAAACGAAGTTGGCAGTATACGCGGGATTTTATGACTTAGAACAAGTAAGAGTCTGCCATGATTGGTTATCCAGAATCACTTCCCTGTTGTCAATGTGGCATTCTTTAATATTTCCCATGGAAAAAAAAATCAGTTAAGTGAAAAAAGAACAAAAATTGGGAAACTGCTATAAACCTCATCTCAGACATCACACGCTCCATTTATTCCTGCTCCTAACTGCTGCCTCCATAAATCATTGTTCCTCTTAGGAAACTGTTTTTCGTTCTGCCTCATCTCACTTTCGTGGTTTCACCTGAGTGGCAGATGACCAGAAACAATAGTACTGCACACCACTGCGGGCAATAATCAGTCACACACGTATTACCGGGAAGGTGCAGGGAGGTTCGCTTTGACATGTCAGACCTGTGTTCATTTTTTAGAGCCACTTTACAGCACTCTATTACTAAACCAGGACAACTTTGGTTTTTGAAATATACAGATTTTGTCAACTTCATTGCTTTTCTACAAAAAAAAAAAAAAGAAACAAAGAACAACAACAAAAAAATTGGTCATCAGGACATTAGGTGTCCAGCCCTGGATCTGCTGTTGGTCAGATCTGGTTGAGTTCCCTTCCTACGATGAATTTCTGTGCCATCACGTTATTGCAGGTGTGATTCTAGCTAATGCTTGCTTGGTATAGATCTAACTCCTGAAGAAGGGCACTTTAATTCAAAGACACAGAAAACAACCTGAAGGGGGAAAGGTCCGCTAGGCCAGTGACCCAGGACACCATCGCGTGCCACTCCTGATTCATCATCTTCTTTTTCTGTTCTTAGGACCTTTCCTTCCTTTCTCTCTCCTTGTCTCTTCTTTTTGTCTTTCCATCTCACTACTCTTCACATTTCCTTTTCTCATTTTCTTTCCTTTAAATTTTTTTCCTTTACTTGAGCATTATTTTCCTTAGATAATACTTTTTCTTCACTTTATCCCATGTGAGAGACTTTCCAAAATGGAGTGAACAAAATAACCAACCCTTACCCCATTGCAATACACACTCCAACTTTGGAGAGGCAAGAACATTTACAAAGAAGATAGTCACAAAGAGTGCCAAGTGCTTAGGAGAAAATAAAATAGGATGATGTGAAAAACAGTGACCAGTCCAGAAGTGGTCAAGACAGCCTCTCTGAGCAGTGGCATTTCTGAGATATAAACAGAAACCAAGAAGGAGCCCTATGCAGATCTGTAGCACAATTAGATCAGAGTAAGAACAGAAGCTAAGCCTGGGCAAGAGGGCCAAGCTTGATATTTAAGAGAAAAAAACAAAGTAGCCGCGTGTAAGGGTAATGAAGAAAAGTAGGTGTGGGAAGAGAGGCTGCCCACCAACATGGTAGAATGCTCACCATAGAATGATTATAGAGAAGTTGGTATACTGTATGATTATGTAAAAGGGCAAGAAGAATCTTATGATTAAATTCATATAGTACTTAGCAAGTTGCTATTTCTAGCTTTTAATGAATCATGGAGCATGGAATGAGCTCCCTGCTTCGCAAGTTTTTAGTAAGTTGATGCTGGCTTTGTTTGTCAGTGAAGAAGGATCCATGCTTAGCATATGTAGATTTTGCAGCTAACAGAAATGAAACTGGTATTTCTTTATTCTCTTCCCCTGAAAGCTGAACAGAAATCAGCAGAGGTGAAAGCACTCCAGGACCCCAGTGAATACCATAAGCAGTAATATACAGCAGTGGATTCCACGGAGGAAATTTGGATGCTTTTCTAAAATTACCTGGTTTTTAAAAAAAAAAACTCTTTATTTTAGCTTTTATAGTGGATAATTTTATAAAAATTGGAGAATTAGCTTGATTTGACAAAAACAAAAAGGAAAGTCTGCAAATGATTATTGCCTGCGTAAATCATTATGTGAATCTACCTGGAATGGATGCCAAACAACCTTGATGGGAGTTGAAAGCATAACTAAGGAAGGGTACTCAGCAAGGACCATTGCAGGGAGTCACAGTGATTGGCCAAAAATTCGGGAAGGACACAAGTCAGCTCCCTACTGTGTGTCTCTGTAAAACCTTACAAGTATTTCCACATAATTGGCTGTTATGAAGAAATCATTCAGCAGATATTTTATGAGCATCTTCCATGGCCACGGTATGATTTTATCACTGAATCACGGTTTTAGTATAGCATGAGATTTTATTTCCATGTTCCCTGTTCCAAATTTGTTTCTCATAAAAAATTTTTAAATTTCCAGGCCTGGCGCAGTGGCTTAGCGGCTAAAGTCCTCGCCTTGAACGCACCCAAGATCCCATATGGGCGCCGGTTCTAGTCCTGGCAGCTCCTCTTCCCATCCAGCTCCCTGCTTGTGGCCTGGGAAAGCAGTTGAGGACAGCCCAAAGCCTTGAGATCCTGCACCCATGTGGGAGACCTGGAGGAAGTTTCTGGCTCCTGGTTCTGGATTAGCACAGTGCTGGCCGTTGCGCTCACTTGGGGAGTGAATCATCGGACAGAGATCTTCCTTTCTGTCTCTCCTCCTCTCTGTATATCTGACTTTATAATAAAAATATAATAAATCTTTAAAAACTTTTTTTAAACTTTCATAAATTTTTTTTTGTTTTCATCTTTTGAGTTAAATTTCTTTACAGTTGTAGGAGGTAGCTAATAATGTAACAACTTTCTATTTCTTTCTGCATTTCACTTTCTAAATAGTTTTGTTCTGTGCCTTAAATCACCAAGCTGAGGTCTCAGTCACTGAATGTCAAGGCCACCTTGGAGGTGTTTGAGGACAGGTCACCCTGGAGAGAGCGTTATGCTGACCGGACTTTCTGTTCCTTTGTTTATTTAGGAGCCTCGATTGCAGTCGGAAGCTGAGAAATGTAAGTATTTGAACTTGACTTTCCAAACTCATATCCTTCTGACTTTGATGATTCCAATGTAAAATTTAGTGAAGTTCAATTCCTCCCAAATGCATTGCTAGTCAGAGTCCTTTCTAGAATCAGAGACATTTGTCTCTGTTAGAATAATTAACGACTGTGATAGACATGAAAATCATCCCTTTGGAGGGTTTCCCTTTAGTCATGTAAGGGCTGGATAAAGAAATTAACAAAGAAATGTGTGTACTCTGTCTGTGCTTTAGTTTCTGAAGCACAAATGATCATTTACAACATGAACATGAACCCTTTTCCATTTTGTAGGTCTGGAAGGGAGTATTAAATTAGGCAGTTGGGCAAAGAGTTTTAGGGAAGCAGCAACATAATGTTAGTAGCATTGACTGCCATGGGCCTGTACTGCTTTCCTATTAATATTTTTTATCTTACTACTATTTCTCATGTCAGTTTTTGGTAGTTATATCTTATCTTCAAACAGCAAGTGCATTAACTCTGTTTGATTTACAATTGAAAGTGAGGAATGTAAGAATCAGGCTTTCTCTAAAACAGAAAAATTGGCTGTGATCTTTTTTTTAAAGATTTGCCAGATCCCAGTGTATTTGATTGATTCTTATCATCTTTGTCTTCCTCTGTCCAACTAGACGAATACACCATTTTTCATTATTAAATTTTAAGCCAAGATAAAAACCCATAATCTAAAACCGAGTACAGCCTATCTTCCCTTTTTCCATCAGTTCTCACACTCTTAGCACAAATTAGTTGGTTTATAGTCCTTGTTCGTGTCCTGACACTTGGAATTAATCTGTTCTCTGGAAATTTATTTGTAGGCATTCAGCTTAAAAAGTCTTTCTGGAAGTTCTGAAGGATTCATAAAGTAAAATTTTCCCACCGAGGTAGGAAACAGAATCATATCCTAGCACTGATACACATAACCATATTTTGGGCCTGTTGCCAGCTGGAACCACACATCTATATCTTGTTGTCCAAAGCAGTTTCTGGCCTACCAAGGAGAAGGAGGTACAATAAGTACAGCCCAGCCTGCTCCAAGCAGTGAAACAATGTGAACATGAAATAATAGTCTGAGATTTTATATGGGCTTCAGATCACAATAATTCATTTTTTAAGGAGCTCATCTCCGCCAACTCCTGCTGGGTTTTATGGGAACACTGGTGTAAAAAAAATCTGCTTTTGTGGACAGTCTCTTTGGAAAGTAAGCAAAATTCACTCAAGACCTTAGCCTCAGATGCATAGGTGTTCTGTCTACATCCAAGCCACCTTGTCAGAACTACAAACCTCCCATCTTAACCCATGAGAATCAATGCCCCAAAGCTGAGTATTCTTAATTAGTTCTATGATGTTGATCATCTGCTGGGAACTTTTATCACTCCTTGGGGAGTTTTACCTCGGGTCTTAACAGAAACTCTGTAGCCCACAGCAGAGATGCTGGACCTGCAAAAGCGCCTCTCCCAAAAGGAATTGACCTTGTCTTGCATTGCTTGTCTGAGTCATGTGATGCTTCTAAGAACTGTCACAGCCTGTGAAAACATCACCACCTGAAAATCATTTTGGAGAACTTATTTTTTTCTCTTCCTGCCCTTAGAGATTAACTTCCCCATCATCTACTGACTCTAAAAACTGCAGTCTTATTATCACAACACACACACACACACATCACGTTTGTGTTGAGCAAGACCACAGTGGTTCTTCGTGGAATGATTTAACACTTAATGGATACATCATGAAGAGTGACTTTGTCAATCAGCTGCCCATTCTGTCCTTCCAGCTTTCCTCCTAATGGAGCATTTCTGAATCCTTCCTTTGAAACACCATTCTTGAGGGAAAATAATCCTACCCTGTGCATTGTTCTATTCCACAGGTACTAGTCACCATTTATTGGCTGGGAAAGGCTGCAAATAGCTACACTTCCTACAGTGGAACTACTCTGAACTTGAAGGAGTTTGAAGGCTTGTTGGCTCAGATGAGAAAGGTAACTTGGCTTTTCTTCTTGGTCCAAGGAGATTTAGACAGAGTGGGAAAAGAACACATTTCCTTGTTTGTAGGATTATTGCATGGTAGAATTCTACAGGCCAGAGATGTCTGGCACTCGGGAATGGACTGCTGGCCTAATCAAGGATATCTTGGCCTCATGCAGCTCACACTTATCTGAGCAGTTACACCCTTTGCAGAATGGGAGCTCTGAGCTCCATCCGAAGGAGCAAGTTCAGTATGTCAGTATATGGCTTTGGATACCAAGGAGCCAAGTGCTTGTTTTCTTGGAGGAATAATGCTTGAAGGAAACAGTGCAGTATTGTACAGAAATGAAGACTTGCTCTGCACTTTTGTCCTAAAGGTCATTTTGCTTACCCATCCAGGCCTTGGTGTGGGTGAGATAATGCCAGCCAAGTTTTTCCCTCAGCATCTACCCTGTATACATTCTCCTTAATTAGGAGCATTCTTTTTATTTTCTTATAATGTATGCCTTGTATGGCTATCACAAATGAGTAACCTTGGAATCTGAAAAATATTTGGTGCATTTGTAAGAGCTTGATTTGTTTGACTTTGGAAAAGACTGACTCAAGGTAAGTTTGTCCAAGAAATAGGTTGTGCATCTCTACCTGGGTGTCCCTTTGGAAGGTTCAGCAATATACATAAACAGTAGAGAGTATTAGCAGGTTATTGCACCCCAGAGAAGCCCTCCTGACCAGCCTTGCTGGACAAGTGAGACTTGCCTTTTGGCAACATCCACATATCTGGGATAAGACCTGGGTTACAGCACAAGTGACTGAGACTCAGCTTGTCTTCTTGCCTCCCAAGCAGAATGAGCTGTTGCAGCCTCACTGAGAGTTGCTCATTGCTTTACAATTTTTCTTTTAATACTGAAAGTGAAATTGATCCCAACTTTCTAGTGATTTATTCTCCTTTCCTTAAAGTAAAGCTAGTGGGCCTCATAGTTCTACACATTTGGCCAGAACCAGTCTGGCTCATGTATTTTTAAATGGACACAGTTCTTATATGGATTGGTACTTGTATAAAGGAAGTCGTTTAGGCCAAATTCTTTTCAAAATAAAATAAACTCACCCACACAATTAAGCAAAACATGTTGGTTCTTAGACTTAGTTCTTATTTGTTCTTTAATTTTTCATCAGATCTATTCTTAGAGTAATGACAGATGTAAGTTCCAGTCTGGATTTGGGAAGTCTAAATGTTTATTGTTTTTATATTAGAGGTGGATTTGATTAATACTGGCTGAGTCATCTTTTTTAAACTGTTTTTGGAGAGCTTTAGCTCACATTCTGTTGGGGCCAGGCTTGTACTCATTAGTGACGATACTCCCCTCCTATCAGGCTCCTCTGGAGCATGTGCAGCAATTGGCTTCTCCAACTTTCCTTACCTCCCTTTCTACTGTGGGCTTGTTGCTTCAGCTGCCTGGGAAGGACTGCTTGCTCATAGCTGCTACCCTTTTCAATAAATGTAGATACCCAGGCAGGGCATGAAGGAGTAATGAGTGTCACTGGACAAAGTGTGACTCTTAATTGAAGAGACCAGGAATGGGACTTCCACATTTCTCTAGGTACAGTGTCTGACTTAATGACCTTTGCTGGTTGGTTCAAGCATGCACCTGGAAATCATAGCTTTGTAATGTGTATTTTCTCATTTTATCAGTTAGGATTATATTGAGCTGGAAAATGTGAGAAATTCATAATCATTTAAAAAAATACAGAATTTTATTTCTAACTCACAGAAATGAGTTGTAAATGTGAAAAGTCCAGGACTGGTCTTCTCATCAGAGAATCTAGACTCATTGCATTTGTGCCACCATCCTCAGCTTTCATCTTCTCACTTGCCAGCCCAAGGTGTAGGTTTAGGCTTCAGCTGTCATGTCCAATTCAAGCCAGGAAAAGGGAGGAACAAGGGAGAAGGGCCTATCTCCTCCCTTTATGCACACTTCTGGGAAGTTAGAGCCTATGCTTCTTGTACTGTGGTTTGGACGTCTCCTCCAAAATTCCAGCTATAATGTAGCTGTCATAGCAACCAGTGCAAATATTGTGACAGTATTAGGAGGTGGCACCATGAAAAGGTGTTAGTTAGGCAAGGAGGAGCTTTGGGTTACAATTGAGCCCTCTCACTGTGGGATGGAGGCAACAAGAAGACCCTCACTCCATGCTGCCCTTCGATGTTGGACATCCTGCTTACAGAACTCTGAAAAATCTACCTCCTTGTGAATGGCCTGGTCGGCAGCTTTCTGTTAATAGCAGCAAAAAGTAGACTAAAGCAACCCCTGCTTTTATCTTACCAACTTGAACTGGGTCACACATCTACACCAAGCTACAGGAAAAGACAAAGTTGACTTTAATTCAGCTAAAATGTATGGCTGTTTTCACTAGAGAGCAGTGTCGAACAACTACTGAGGGACAACTGGAGTTTCTCCACATACACAGGTTGGAATAAGTTTGAAATTAAAGTTTTCCCTTTTGCCAAGGAGATTAGCCAGAAATTGTTTTTATGGTATTTTTTCTAGTGGGAGAAATATGCATAAAAAGTATTAGCTATGGTGTAACTTATCAAATTCTAAATAACATAGATAAGCTTGCAGAGCCCTTAGCTTTAGTTTGGCAGATAGGAGGTTATGCATAGATTGATACTGTAGTCCTAGGGTCCAAGGATCTCTGCAAACACAGAGACTGTGAGCTTTTACTCTGACTTGCTATGTCAGGGAAAGCCTCCCAAAGAGGGGATCACTGAAGCTCAACAAGGAGGAGTTCTGGGAAAATCCTGAGATTGATGTGAGAGCCATGGAGGTTGGGGTGTCTGGAGATCTCAAGACTGAAACTAGAAAGTCAACTGTGTAGGTTCTGTCTCCTTACATCTTGCTCTAGTCTCTTTTGATCTCTCCTTGTATTCATTCCTTCCTCCCATGGGCAAGCATTCCCTTCCAGCAAGAAACAACCAGTAGTATCCTCAGCATCACTTGCTTCCAGTGACTTGCTCCCAAAGGGCAGGAAGTACTTCTCCCTTAGCCCAAAGTGTAGTTTCTAACAATTTACCCTGATTCATGTGAGTCCAACTCCTGAACTAGACCCTGGGATCAAAGGGGCTATCATGGTTGAGCCCTTTTCAGGAGATAGAGGACATCCTTCTAGAAGGGACAAAGAGGAGAAAACATGATGGGCAGCCAAGTGCAAGACTGAGCCTCACCTGGAAACTACTGTCAACTGCTAGTTCCTTAACCTGTCTTGTTTCTGTTTTGCTTTGGTTTGGTGGGTTTTTTCATGATACTTATCACCTGACATTGTATTGTATGTTCTTTGTTTTTGTTTTTTCTAGCAGAACGTAAGGCTCATAAGGGCACAATATTTGTGAATTTTTGCATAATATTTTGCCCCCAGGACTAGAACAGTGCCTGCCACATAAAAGATGCCCAAGAAATAGTTATGGAATTGGTGGTGGATGAAGCATGAGTAATCATACAGGAGAGGTAGAACCCTGAGCCATTCCAGAATAGGTATAGCTGCCCTATAAATCATGAAGGAAGCAGAGAATGTTGAGTGGTTAAACAGGCATCTGGATTTTTTGGAGGCCGTAAGTTGTGCACCAATCCTAGCTGGTTCTCATTATCTATGACAGAGGATAAGAAGGAGACGGATGAGTAGAATAATTCAAAAAGTTCTCAGAAGCTACTAGTTCATGAACACACTTCTATAAGAACAACAAGCAGTTAGCACAAGAAACTGATCTGAATCTTCCATCCTGGAATGCTCAGTGTTTTAAGACAGAAAGCTACTGGACTACTCAGTAAGAAGTCCAGATGATGTCATTAGCTCCCACAAAAGCAGAATTGAGGCTGTGCTGGCTTTTGTGTCGTCTCATACAGAGATCACCTTTCTCACAAAAGCTCAATAATAATAATAATAATAATAATAAAATGTGATGGCTTGAAAAAAGCTGGACAAATTGTCTACCTGACTCTGACTAATGTCCATGTCTTTAGTCCCAGTAGAAGCCATGGCCTCTACTTCACCACTGGGTCTTGAGGTAGTGTTTGGGTGGTGGAGGCAGGAGGGTTGACTTAACCAAGGACAGCCACAGCACCTGATTCTCACACACTTGATGCAGGGTTTCACCATTCTCTCTCTTCAGTCATGAACATAACGGCTGTTTTATTTATCTTTCCCATAACTATGAGACAACAGCCGAAGCTCTAGCAGGCATGTTGACTTTCTCTTTCTTCCTTTGTTGTCATCTGTGGTTTCTAGAGGAAGGGGGAGGAAAACATTTGAGCTGTTCCCTTGAAAGTACCATTTGATGATACTGCACCAAGCTGTCTATAGGAGTGTCACATCCACAAGTGACCAGTGGTCCAGCTCCCTGTATATCCTGTATAGCGTGCTCTGATAGAGAACTAGATCCAAATTGCCCAGATCTGAAGTACAGTGGAGAATGAGGATGGAGGTGAAGTTGTGCCATTAACTACATTCACAAGTGCTATGTGATTTACCTATTGAAATTCACCTACCCGAGTAAGCAACTGGTAGTAATTATATCCACAGCTGATAGTTTTAGAGTACTTGTTCTGCATCTGGCACTTTTCTGAAAGCTCTTCATGTATTAGCACATGTAACCTTGCCCAGCAACCCTGAAAGATGGATGTTGTTATTACTCTAGCTTATAGATGAGTTCCAGTAAGGTGAAATCTCTTGCCTAAGGTCATGCAGCTAACAAGAAACGCAGCCAGAGTTCTGTCTTGTTTCCAAAAACATGCTCTTAACCATTTCCTTTAACTTCCTTTTTTTGTGGTATTTAGAGTACAGAGATCTTGACATTTTAAAGGCATTAAGCCAGAAGTCTGAGGCCAAGGTAGCATCGTGCACAGGATAAGGACATAGTGTGTGTCCAGTAAGTGGAGGAGAAGGTACCGGTGGCCACAGCTGGACCTGACCCAAAGATGACTTAGTTTACCATTTAGAATATGGAGAGAGTCCTGCATTGGAGTCACAACTTTGCTGCTTGCTGTGTCATTTAACCCCACGGATCCTAATTTTTCTCTTCTGTAAAATAAGGAGAGTGTTAACACAACATTGGGTGTTGTGAGGATCAGATAACACAATGTTTAAAATGCATCAGGTAAACACCAGGCACCTACTGAGTGTTCAGTAAAAGTGGTCTTCACATTTGTAACCATTTGGTGCGTTCTTGGTAGATAAATCCCAGATCATTTCTTGTATTTTTGTTCCAGACTTTGCAGTAAATCCTGAACTCCTCCTTTCTCCTCCTTTCCCAGCTGGTGAAGACTGACATTTGTTCAGGTTGTGGTTAACTTTTGACCTGCAAGTAATCCACCATAATTTTCATAGTGCAAATGCCTGCCTTGCTCTAGAGGGTCAGCTCAGCTGGACTCATAGAAGCCAACTTGGGGACAACTTTTTCAGGAGCATTCAGAGAGCATCAGTGCAGAGCCTGCAGGGGTCTCCTCTGCACGCTGCCCCTGCCCTTACCCTCTCACCTATTCCCCTAATGCAAAACGTGCCTGTGCCTTGTGAATGGCAGACCCCATCCCTCCTGCTGGGAGCAGGTCTGGGGAACTGGAGATAATTGACCCAGGCAGGGAGCAAAGGTGCTTCCTGCAAAGGCGTGGGCTCCAGCGAGCTCTCAGGCGGTCTTGAGCAGTCTCCAAACTCGCTAAGAGGGAGAACATTTCTTTATGTTTTCCTCTTTGTTGGGAAGGGGACAGGGACCTTTGTAAGTATTCTGGGAAGTCTTCTTAGTGACTTCCCAGCCTTTGCAAAGTCACCCACAGCCCTCCTCTTAAGCAACAGTCTGGGGGTATATTAAAGTGAGGTTTATCTTTGAGTGACCAGAGTTATTTTTGTTTTCGTCAGCCGGGACTATTGTAATGAAGGCGAAGGCTCTGGTGGGAACAAGGCTTTTATTATAATACGAGGGTGAGGACGGCTTTAACTGACCTTTCTTCTGCTGGGGTTTCAGTGTTTTAGTATGTGCTGCTTGTGCTGGAAAGAATTTATAATCACGGGCTGTCAAAGACAGCCATTGTTCTCCCTGCTCTGAACATGTGGGTCAGCTACAAGTGCTTGCAGCTCCCCCAGCGCCAAGTACTGGCCGAGAGCGCGAGCATGCCTGGTTTCTTCTGAGGCATCAGGGGAAAAGCTGTTTGCACATTTTTCACGGCTTCCCTCCCCCCCGCCCCCTTTTTTTTTTAACTTCTTGCCTCAGAAAGACAGCTCCCTTTCAGAACTGGAATTCCCTCCAAGGTAGCAGGACAGGGAAGCGTGCACCTCTAGGCTTCTGCAGGACCGATAGCGCGACAGAAACAAATGCTGCCGGTGTCTGCCAGACGGCGCAAACGGGAGCAATTGCACGGCTTGCTGCCAGGACAGACATGCAGCTATGGACTCCGAGAGACAGGGCAAGGTGAAGGGTCTGCTTTGTGGCTCTTGTTTTTGTCTGTTGTTGTGCTCTTGCAAATCCAAACGGTGTGGTCCTTTATTCTTATTTCTTTACTTTTTTGTTTGTTTTTTAACTATTCAGAATTTGAGGTACTGGGAGCATCTTTGGGGAAATGCTTGGGAAAGTGCAGGAGAGAAGCACCAAGGAATGCAATGGTGACCTGCAGGGGATAACCCATTCCCTAACGGTTTGTCAGAAGCTCTTCAGAGTGACAAGATGAGCTGGATTTGGGGAGGAGGGAGATGGCTGGAGACTGATTCTTTCTGATAATGAAGGCGCTCCGTCTGGGGCAGTGATATCTATAATCCATTCGTCTTATTTCTGGACAGGAGACCGATGACATTGAGAGTCCCAAGCGCAGTATCCGAGACAGCGGCTACATCGACTGCTGGGATTCCGAGCGCAGCGACTCCCTCTCGCCTCCTCGCCACGGCCGCGATGACTCCTTCGATAGCCTGGATTCTTTTGGCTCCCGCTCCAGGCAGACACCTTCACCGGATGTAGTGCTCAGGGGAAGCAGTGATGGTACGTTGCTGTCCTCACAAACTGCAAATCATAGACTTAGCCTACACAGGGCAACATTGTCCCTGGAGCAGCGCTGGGCATCGGGAAGGTGGGCTTTGCTGGATGCCGGTGTTTGTAAAGTGGTAGGGGAAAAATGTCTGTTTTTTCAGGATCTTTTCGGTTTGGGCTGGCTTTGCAGGCAGTGTCGTTAAGCATTGCCTCAGTGAGGGGATCTTCAACTGGAAAATGTGGTTCATCATTCCTCCCTGTGAATTACCCTCTGCGTAGACCATAAACTCATAAATAGTGTGCCAGAGGCTTATGTGCCCTGGGTAGGAGGAAGGGAAATGTTTGAGTGAGTACCATTGTGTGCAAGTGCAAATAGATCCATTTCCAGCAAACTGGAAATGCACTGTCCATGCTTATGAATGTTCTGGAGCCTGGAATCTTGTCACTTTAATTGGCACATTTTTGGCAATCTGTTTGGCACTTGTGATGCTTGAGCAGGGGCTGGTGCACTGCAGGTGGCCGTTACTGTATAGTGTATAACCAAGGTTGCCTGTTGCTTGTGGGTTTGATTGAAATCCCATGGATTTTATGTCACCTCTGAGGAATGATCCTTTTTCTTTACAAAAATGTGCAGTCAGAGGACCTGATATAAATCAAATGCCTTTTTTGCAGAAGCTATTTGCCTTCCTTGTCTTGTACCTTAGTAATTTCAGATAGAGATGAGGACCTGGCTCTGCATGTGCAAACTTGCAGAAAGTTAAGGAGTTTTTGTTTGTTTCTTTTAAAATATATATTGTTTAATTGAAGGTAGTGTTCCTAGATACAAGCCTACTTTCTGAGATCAAGATTACCTTTGTAGCTTAAAGATTGCTTTTGGCTGAGAAATTCAATACTACCAACACGTTTGATGGACAGATGTATCCAGGTCCCAAGATAATTAATAAGCACAAAGCATCTCTTTTTCTTATCTTTGTTTCACGAATGAGCCTTGGATAAATGAAAGAATCACCCCAACTGTAAATGATTAAAAAAAAATCACTGCCAGGAAGTAGTAAGACCACATCGGACTCACAGAGTAAGCCCCAAAGTTATGCTCTTAAGCCTAATTTACTCAGTTTTCTCTTGGTCTAATGGGTGTTTCATTCTAGAATGACTGCCCTATTGCTTTTGTTGAGAACTTAAACTTTCCAGCGAATATGTTAGCCTCAGGGCCCCATAGTCTATGACCCCTAAAGAATTCCATGCTGCATTGTGAGTCTCTTGAAAAATATTTCTAAAATTTTATGACATCTTTCTGTACCACCCACAAAACTAGAAGGGAAATGCCAAGCCTACCATCTACTTGAGTCTTCACCAAACCGAAGAAATAGACTTACTTTTGTGAAACTTATTTAACCAAGTTATTTCATCCATATTGTTTTGATTGTGCTTTATTGCATTTTCCTCAAGCTAGTCTTTTTATAACTGGTAATACAGGCCCTGTATTTTTTTGTCATAAGCTTCGAGGGGTTCAGAATCTGTGATGAACCACATCTTGAAGGGATTTGAGTTGGTGATTACTAATATTATACTAATATGTATTGAGGCACAAGTTAGTTTGCAGCAATTAAGATTGATAAGCTAGAGCCTTTTGACAAATATTTTCTCCATCTAAAGAACATAAAATTTAGCTTTACCAAACACCGTTCATGAAAGAGCATCATACACACAGATTTTACCAATCAATCTGATACCTTAAGGCTTATGTTCCCATAAACTAATCAAGAGCTAATGAGGTTTTAAAAGACAACACATTTGTTTAATTTGCTTTTAAAAGAAAGTCCCGTGATTTCAGCCAAATACATGTTTGTTTCCTAAGAGTTTATGCTATTTTTTTAAATGATACTAATCAAGGAGATCACCAGTCCTAACAAACACTTCCAAATTTGGGAGAATATATATATATATATATATTGTTGTTGTTAAATCTTGAAAATGTATTTTCTAGGACTCATAATTAGGGAAAGTTGTCCCAGGAAATACTTAAACTGTGTATTGGCTCATGTGGAGAGCTTTCTTATTATGATTGATGTCTGCTGACTTATTCAACACAAGTAATTATGAGTCCCTCATGGCATAAGAGCTGCCTGGCAGGGATTCTACAGATTCCACGGTCAATTCTGCCAGTCTGTCTTGCTACAGAGCTACCCACTTCCTCGTTCACCTTCACTGACACCCCATCTGGACCATTTGATGAGCTTCACTGAAGAAAAGATGCAGGAGCCTGTTGCCTGCCAATGCTGGCACCCTTTATCTGAGCACCAGTTCATGTTCAGCTGCTCCACTTCAAATCCAGCTTCCTGCTCATGCTCCTAGGAAAAAAGTAGCAAAAGATGGCCTAAGTCTTTGGGCCCCTGTCACTCCTGTAGTAGACCTAAATGGAGCTGTGGGCTCTGGCTTTTACCTGGTTCAAACCCAGCCATTGTGAGCATTTGGAAAGTGAATCAGTTGATGGGAGATCTGTCTCCCCTTCTCTTTATCACTGTGCCTTTAAAATATATAAAATAAACCTCTTAAAAAGGAGACAGCAAAAATGCAAAATCTTTCACTCAGGTACTTTCATTTTTAAAAATTAACTTATTTTTATCAGAGAGTCAGATTTATAGAGAGAAGGAGATACAGAAAGAAAGCTCTTTCATCTGCTGGTTCACTCCCCAAGTGGCCACAATGGCTGGAGCTGAGCTGATCCAAAGCCAGGAGCCAGGAACTTCTTCCAGGTCTCCCATGTGGGTGCAGGGTCCCAAGGCTTTGGGCCATCCTTTATTTCTTTGCCATGTCACAAGCAGGGAGTTGGAAGGGAATTGGAACAGCCAGGATATGTACTGGTACCCATATGGGATCCCAGAGCATGCACAGTAAGGACTTAAGCCCTAGGCTACCATGCCAGGCCCCAGGTACTTTTAAAATTAAGACTCTGTTGGTAAATATGATGCATCATGGTGCCCAAATATCTTGTATTTTAGATGAAAGAGAGAGAAATTAGGAATGAGAGCAATGAAAGTGGTAGAGGGAAATTGAAAAGTAAAAGGGCTTTAGTTGTACCTGAACAACAGAAGAACCCCTGCTTGTTGCAAGAGGAAGAGAGACACACGGCCTCCTGGAAAGGAAGGAGCACACAAATTGCATCACCACCACATGCTCTGTTGTGTCTCCCATCTTTATTTTGTTGTCTTAAAGTTTTGTTTGTTGTAATTTGAAAGTCAGAGTTATATAGAGTGGGGAGAGACAGAGAGATCTTCCATTCACTGGTTCACTCCCAGATGGCAGCAACAGCCAGTGCTGGGCCATGCTAAAGCCAAGAGCTTCTTCTGAGTCGTCCACAAGGTAACAGGGGTTCAAGCACTTGGGCCATCTTCCTCTTCTTTTCCCATGCATGTTAGCAGAGAACTGAATTGGAGATGGAGTAGCCAGGACTCAAACCAGTACCAACTTGGGATGCTGGTGTTGCTGGTAGTAGTCTTACCTATTATGCTATGATACCAGCTTCCATCTCCCTAATTTTGGGTGTAAATAGAGAAGTCACCATAATAAATATCTGAGTTTGCAGGAAGAGGTGAACTCAAAATCTTTTGACTTCTTGGCATCAGATTAAATGAAAGTGCTAACATCTACTGTAACTACCGTCAGCTACTTCCCAGGTGTTTTGCACTGTCTCATTTAATCTTCATAACAATCTCTGAGAACCATATTATCACTCAGTGTGTCCCATGCAGACTCAGAAATTCAAGAAACTTGACTTCTTCAGGGTCCACAGCTAGCAGGCACTGGGACTGAAATTAGATCCTGGATCCTAAGTCCAAAAAGCTACACTTCCTACAGCTAAGCTATAATGCCCTAAGGCATTTGTAAGTTAATGTTTATTAAGATGTATGCTCAAAGCTTCCCTTCTTAGGTGTTAAATAATATACTTCAAAACTTGCACTTAATATATTTTAGGTAATATAAGAGGGTATTTCAGAAAGTTCATAGAAAGTCAAATTAAAAGATAGTTTATTTCAGTGCAAAACAAATTGAAAACCCATGCATTTTTTTCACAATACACAATTCCATGATTTTTTTGAAGGACACTCATGTTTCAGATATCAACACAAATAAAGTCCAGAGTTGTAGGACAGAATTGAGGGACCTGAGATGAAACTATTGTGTTACTTACTAAGCTTTCATGGTTGATAGAAGAATAATTTTCATTCAGTTGTTTGCTCAATAAAATGTGATACTTACCTTAGGATACTAAACATCCAAAGAAGGATGTGTCTAAGAGAAGGGAGCTCTCACTGGGTGTTGGAAGAACAGAAACTGGGATTTCAGCACAGTTGCTGGCCATTCATGCAGAAGGGGCCCCTTCCGTCTCTGAGTCTGTTCTTCCCAGCCTTTATCAAGTGGGGAAAAAGCAGCAGAAAATGGCCCAAGTTTTGGGGCCCCTGTCACTCCTGTAATAGACCTAAATGGAGCTGTCACATGAAGAAATGAATCTCAAAGTGCCACAAGGCCAGACGGCATTTGCATATAAAGCCACTCAGAGAGGATTGTCAACATTTTAGACACTGCAGAAGATACACTTACTAAAAGACTTGGGGTGGGGAGGGAGCTAAGTCCTGAATCAAATTTGAACAAGCCTCAAAATGGTTCGAACTTGGAAGGACAGCTGAAAGCAAGCGGCATAAATAATTCATAAGCTGAATATTTCATCTGTAACAATGAACAACTTGTTTATGATCAGTGCTCTTAACTCTTAAATGTATTTTATCATTTCATCTGCAGGGCAAATCATTTCATTCCTGTTTTATAGAAAAGGACAATCAAGTATGCTGGAGACCAGTCTAGGAGTGCCTGGTGCATTTTCAACTGACCCTGAATCATTCTGGCAGAGTAGCCAGCATTTATTAATGTTATTCTATGTTAAGCTCTGTACTGGTAGTTTCAGATGAGTCTGATTATTCCAGCAGTCCTATGAAGTCGGTAGTATTATCATCCTCATTTTATAGATCAGAAAGCAGGTATCAGTGGGTGATGGATCGTGTACAAAGTGCCACAGTTAAGGAAGAGGGGACTCAAAATGAAGTGTAACTAGTCTAATTCCCTGTGCACTGCCTTTCTGCCAGGCTGCCACCTCTCTTAGCTCTTTCATTTAAGTCTCTTCTGAAGTGTAAATATGTATATTTCTATATGTAATCAACAGAATTAGAAAGTCTTGTATTGTTCTCGTTGACTAAAATTGATCAACCATCATTATAAAGATGGATACCTATGCCAAAGTGCTTTTTTTTTCTGTTTTGATTCAGCATATTTTTCATGTGTTAGTTTTCTCCTGATTAGAATTGAGTGCCTCTGCCTGACTTGGGACTAACTTAGACTGCTACCTTAGATTTATTTTCCAATCATTTAGGGGGAGAAATCACTGGGACCTGCAGATCTGATCATGTCCTTACTACTGTGGATATGACATTGGGAATTTCCCTGCTAGCCCAGCACCCTTCTCCTCTTCCCCAGGGAGAGGAAGTGACTCTGAGTCCGACTTGCCACATCGGAAGCTACCAGATGTGAAGAAGGATGACATGTCTGCGCGACGGACTTCCCATGGTGAGCCGAAATCAGCAGTGCCTTTTAACCAATACCTCCCCAACAAAAGCAATCAGACGGCCTACGTCCCTGCTCCTCTAAGAAAGAAGAAGGCTGAGAGAGAAGAATACCGGAAGAGTTGGAGCACTGCCACCTCCCCGCTCGGTGGCGAGAGGCCCTTTAGGTAAGGCCTGGTCTGTGCTACTCTCTTCCCAGCTGGGTTTGAGTGGCATAGGAACTGCAGCTCCTGGCTGTGAGTGGGGTTATGTCACCATTCTGAACTTGGATGGATGATTACAAAGGAGTGGGGGTGAAGGGGTTAGGACAGATTCTCTATCTTCGCCATGATAAAATATCAGTTTCCCGAGGGGACCTAGCAAAACGTCTAGCACGCAGTCGATATTCAACAAATCCTTATCTAACAAGCAGGTGTGTAAAGCCGGTTCTATTGAGAGGACATACAGAACAAAGAGTTTGTCATCTGCATCTTTCTATGGAGACTGCCGACTCCTAATAATCTTGTTCTATGTAGAATGTCTTGTATCTTTATGCAGAAAGACTCCTTTGATTAAGATGCAAGTTCATCTAGATACAAGCTTAGCTGTGTAAGCAACGTGTAGGAGTGTGCTTCACCATTATATAAGGAAGCAATGGTAGTAAATGGACGATGCACTGAACGTCTCACCTATGTAAAGCAAAAGTGGGCAACCTGTATTCTTCCAGAGGCCATTTGGATATTTACGACATCATTTGTGGTACATACAAAATTATCAGCTTAAAAATTAACCTGCTATAGATTTATTGAATTTCAAGTTCCACTTGAAGTTTCCTTGGCAAGGTTAGACTAAATGATTTTGTGGGCTTTGTACTGCCAATGGACTGGATATTCCTCACTCCTGCTTTAAAGAATCAAGCAGTATTTTTTTTCCCTTGGTCTCTGAATATGCATTTATATTTATTTTCTCATTTATTTAGCAAGTACTTCTTGAGCATCTTCTATGTGGTAGATTATCTTATAGACCCTAGGGGCCCCAAAATAGATAAGACACAGTCCTTGCCTCTGAGGATCTTACAATAAAACAAACTGTTGGGGAGACTTGTCTTTATTATCTATGTTTTTCACTAAGTGGATGTTTTGATTGTAACTATTGAATGAGTCTAATGAATTTCACCTTTCCAACAGAGAAGACATTTGCTATCAATATCAACTTTGGAATAGTTCTTAATCAGCGATAAGAATATGATGCAGTGTATTAGTGAATGGCTACATTTAATTTTTCTCGCTTTACCAAGGTCATATTACCTACTATGATGTGTAATTTTTTGAAGTTAAATGTTATATCAGAGTGGCTGGAAGGTGGCATATGGTTGGCTTCCTCTGCCCAGTCTATTGGTTTGGTAAACCATATTGTCCAACTCAATAGCTATCCTGAAACAATAGAGGAAGAGGAAAGTGAAGCAGGGTCTCCAGGGGAAGAGGACCCCATCAGCCAGATGGATCCTGGTGGAAATCCTTCTGATGAAGGGTTAGGATTATCCCACGGCAGTGGTAAGGGGCAGCCTCCTGCAGAGGAAACTGCAGCAGCACCTGTGCCCCGGTCAGAAGAAAAAGGTGCTGCCGAAGTCCGAAAGCGCAGAAGGCTAGAGCAAGCAGGAATCAAGGTCATGCCAGCTGCACAGCGCTTTGCCAGGTCAGCTCCGCCCACTGAGGGTTAGGCTGGCTGCCCTTCTGCATGCCTGGAGGCTTGGGATCTGTCTAGTGAGTCGCAGTGTTCAGCTGGGTTTTCCATTTACTGCTTGTCCCATTGCATCACATTCCCTACTCTGAGCAAATTAGAATTAGACAGCCATCAGCCTTTGGGCATGTCTCTGCTAAGTGCTCGGTTATTTGAAACCGAGGTGAAGTGTGAGTTCCTTGCTGCTTGGTTAGACTTCATCCTAGTCATGCATTTGTGGTCAGTAACTTGCGGACTGCAGGATTTACCCAGTGGTAACGTCATATTTTCCTGTTGTTTGTGGCTTGTTAATTTTCACACTACTCCTAAATGGCTCAAATCTTTCTCTTTCAGTTCCCATCCCTAGAAAACTGTCAGTTTCTTTGAAATGAGGAACACTCTCTTTGGAAAGAGCAACTGGCTTACAAAAATGTCCCAAGGGAGTAGCAAGTTAGTCTCATTTCCAAAGCATATTGAGTCAAAAACAAAGAATGTGATAATGACTTTGCTCAGTTGTAACTGTGGCCCAAGTACACATCCCTGACGGCTTCATATTCCATGACAGATGGAAAACCAGAATGATCGAAGCCACAGAAAACTGTGTTTGTTCAATGTTTTGAGAAGCTGGTTCATTTTTCATGCATATTAAATACAACAATCTTTAAAAAGTATAATAGTGCAGAATTTATTTGGCAAATTGACATTCATAACAATTTGACTATTGAAATCCCTTTGTCACTTGCTGCTCTGTTTAATTTTAAGAGGTTGGTGATATACTTGTTTCTCAGAAGAGGAAACAGAACCAGGGATAGTAAATGCCTGGCAGAGGGCAGCACTGGCCTAGTAGCCAGGTTCCAATTTTCTAACCACAGCATCACATCTGCCTTCCACATATTTAACCAAACATTTTCCATTTCGGTTCACAATTCCAAATGTGGTTATTTCTGTGGTTCAGTCCTTAATTGAAAGACCCAACATTCACTTATGTGAATTTAATCCCAGAATAGCTTTGTATTGATTAAAGAAACCCCAAAAATATACTTCTTCCGCTTCTATGATATCCCAGGGTCATGCTTGTTCTAAACATGTATGGGCTTCTAAAAAGTCCCAACATATAATTGTACTTGTGATATAAGTTGTTCTCTGGGCTTCTGAAATAATGAAGAGTTATGTTAAAGAAACTTAAGAATAACAGCAGTAGTCTAAAAAGTCTTGCATTTTGATCCTGAGACCTTGCCAGACATGTACTTTTTTTGCATCCTGTAAGCATCTACTTGTACCAGAGACAGGGCTTACTGTTAGGAATACCACACACCACTTTTCAGACTTCCCTGCTTCTGTCTTTCATCCTAGAACACAAAAGAATAAGTAATAAAGGTAATAGTGTGAGCTTACCCAGAATTTTAACCTTCCATATCTTTGATATACAGACCTCCACTTTTAATCACATTAAAATCAGTATTTAATGTGAAAACCTGAGGTTAAATTTCACCAAGGACACCATCATTTCTAGTCTGTAACAAGGATAGGGAAATGAGTGGGGCACTTCCTTAAGCTGGTTTAACATATCCAGGAGAAATGGTGATGCAGCAAAAGAGACTGGCCAATGACTGGGCATTTTGTGGGGGTACTTGCCCATGTCAATAAATGAAAAGTTTATTTTGTGATAAAACACAGAGTTCTGTTATGACTATTCCCAAGTGGTAAATACATATAGAATCATGGGTTAATTTGAAAATGCGATGTTGATAGATGCATATTATATTAATGTTATTTTCTTCTCTCATCTATATTTCCTGTTTTCTGGCTTAATTCTTGTTTCACTCATTAGTTCCCTTTAATTAAGCAGAAGTCTGCAAGTCATCACACCTCCAATATTCTGACTTAGCATTTAAAATTGAGTTTAAGACAGTTACACGTATTCCTAAAAGCAACACAACAAGCTGCCCCAGACACCTCGAATCCATTTGTTAGACACCATTTCCAGCTGTTAGTTCACTCATAAGGGTTGCATATATATCATGCCACCAGCCTGGCATAACTAGTTCTTACTTTTTGTAAGCCACATCAGAATCGAAAGCCATTGTAGGTTTATCCACATTTGGGATCATGCTTTTAAGTAGCAGAAAGTAGTTTCACTAGAATGAAAATCCTATCATGAACAAGAAAAGGATTCTTGGTATGTGGCAATGGGAATCACTGACATTTGCAGATGTCTCTCAGAGCATCTTAACCTTGGCCTCTCATCCTCAGCATCCGGAAGATTCTGGCCATCAGATCTTAGAACCCAGTAAGACACATAGGGTGATTCTTGGGGGCCCTGTCTCTGCTGGGAAAGCTGTGTGTGTACAGAAACGAATGCAAGTGTGGAGGCCCAGGCAAGAGTTGCAGATTGTAGACAAAGAACAAAGCCTTGCCTTTTCAGATGGCATTGTTTTGATTTTGCTTGTTTCCCAAGTATGAACATCACCAGACACCTCCTTGGCCTATTTTTACTGCAATATACAAAAAGGAGCAAAGATGCCTGTTAATTCCATTTTTATGTGAGGTTAGAGGCCTAGCAGTCCCAAGCTTCCTGTCAAAAAAATATGTCAGGAGATGACTTAGCATCAGGGGACAGAAAGTAGAACTTCTTTATAAATGTGCAGAGTTCAGTATTTATAGGACTTCCAATAAAGTAAAAAAGTATATAAATCTCTTTTACTTCTATTTTAGAATTTCGTTAACTTAATTACTCCCTCAAATCTAAGAATCTGCCAAAAAAAAAGAGCCAAGACTTCTGTTTTTTCTTTTTCTTTCTTTTTTTTTTTTTTTTTGAGAGGATAAAACAAGAACCATAGTTCACTTCCCCCGAATTAAAATGTCACAAAGATTCAAGTTCTTTCACTTGGTGCTTCCCTCTGGAGAAGTTAAAAAAAAAAATTGCACTGAATTATAGGTTTCGTGTGATTGTAACTTCATTTCTAATTGTTTTCATATGTTTCAGTATATTCTGCTGGTTGAGTCTTCTCAACCACATAGTAATTAATTACAGAGAGACAAAAAGTCCCCATGGAACAATAGACATTTTAGAGAGCTTTAGAGGAAGAGCAGATACAGCAAACACCGGACTCATAAGTGCTCATGTCCCTCCTGGCCAGCTTCTAGCTCCTGGTCACTGCCGAGGAGGTCAGCGGGTGCTAGGGTGAGGCAGGCACATGGCTTGCAGGACCCATATGGCACCAGTTGTTGGCTGCCCTGCCAGCCATTGCCAGTGACATTCCCAGAATGACTAACAGGCCTTTCTGGAGAGCCCAGTTTCTTTCAATAGAACAAGGGGACTGCCAATCTGAGCTGGCTGCTTATGTGTGGCCAGGTGAAAGAGGAGGAAAGAAAATGCCAGCTCTTCACTATCCCAGTCGCTCTGAAATACGCAAGCCTTAGAAATTTTGAGACAAGTGCTTTTTCCTTCTCCTGCCTTACTTTGGGTTCATCATTTGTTCTATCATGAAAACCTTAACTTGTTTTTCGTTTGTTAGATTTTTTTTTGATGAGTTTTTGTTTTATTTTGTTTAACTTAGAACTAGAGTTTTTTGATAGTCTCTTCATCATAATTCCTACCTGACATTGTTGTCAGGAAAGTCACTGCATCTGGGATATGTATATGTGGACTGCCCAGACTGGAAAATCAAGCCCAATATGCCAATTTCATAATAAACTGTACTTTTGAAGATCCCTCTCAGAAAGACAGAAAAGTCATCTCATTATTGGGTAACTGAACACCTATCAATGTTCGTGGAAAGATGGAATGGAAAAAAAGTCTATTTTGGTCCAAAATGCTTTGAAACCCATGTATATTTAAAACACACACACACATTTTCTATGAACTTTGGCATTCCCTCATCCCTATTTCCTTTATTTCATAACTAACAGTGACAGCTCAGAGTTTGTGTAATTATTGTAAACAGTCTGCCTTGAGGCTCTGGAATTGCAAGATTCAAGCAATTAGCAAGGAAAAAAATCACTCATTATGACAGTGTTTCAAGTGGATAGGGAATGTTTTTAAGTAGCCAGTGATATGGAAAGCTTTCTTCAACTCGCTTTTAGTAAGTCCACGTATCTAAATTGAGATCACTAGACAGGAGTCCTGCCAAACTGGGCATTGAGCCTAAAAAGAAACACACAGGAAAATCTGTAGCCTGGCTGGGTTCACATGATGCATAAGGTAACAGATTCTCCCTGCTCAAATTGGCATCAAAACTTGACAGGATCATTTGCATAAGTGTGTATATGTTATTCTGAAGAATTCTGCATCAGTGGAAGCCCAGGACTCATGCTGTTCTTGGACTTACAAGCTTTAAGCTGAGATCTGCTTCCACCATGGTGCAGTAGAGTGTCTGGGTTATGTGCCCCCACAATGGGATAGGGATTTGAAAGAGCTTTGTAAACCCTATGGGGTTGTACAGATAGTATAAGGTATGGCTACTTAGCATTCTGCCATCACCAGTGCTGTCTGTAAGCTGCAATGCAAATCACAACTCTATTCTGAGCACAACTCACAAGTTCTCTTATTTAGTAACCAAATTGCTTCTCTGGTGCCAGCTCTCATACTAATTTAATGTCTTTTTTTTTTTGTACTATGCTCTACTTTCCAAACTGCTCCTGGCATTGTTTCGGTAGGACAATGAGTAGACCATGGAGTAGAGGCTTCAGAGATTGGGTTTGAAATTTAACATAAGCACCAGATTTTCAACTTCAGGCAGGTTTCTTAACCAAGTCTAAGGTTCCACTTGCCAAACTAGGAATGATAATGATGACAGTGGCCTTGCAAGGTTAATATTAGGGTGCAAAAATTCTAGCACAGTACATGCTCAATGAACATTTACTACCTTCAATGTCATCTTCAGTGTGTAGTTAACATAATGCTTTGGAAGAGGCTAATTCAGTGGTGTGTCCTTTTCCTCTGACCATTCTTTATAATCATAGCCAGGAAACATTAGCTAGTCTTTGCCAGATGAGCTGGCTAAGAATCAGGGAAGAAGAAAAAACACAGTCCAGGAAAGGACCAGGCAGGAGATTGCAAGTCGTATGTGCAAGCAAAGGGCAGGATTTCATATACGAATGACATTTTATTCAGGGAGCAAAGCATCACCACCATCCAAAACTCCAAGTTTTAAATTTTTCTTGAGAATCATAATTAACAATAATGAGGAGTTTTCTAGGCATGTCAAGGATAGTGGGACTTTACAAAATTCAGAGGGGGATGAGGACCTGCTATCACCTTAGGGTAATAATCTGTTTAAGAAAAGAGTAGGCTAACTGGTTGACCAGAATGATATACAGTCTTGCTGTTTCGCTGTCGGTCAGGCTAATTCCTCCTGTCTTTTTTTTCTGAGATGAGTTTGTCCTTTGAGGATGAAGACATTTCTCTTAACCCTTTCTCAGAAAACAGATCAAAGTTGGGAAGCTTTCTGTAGAAGCCAGATATTAGCTAAGAAGATAACACATGATGAAGTTTCATAATTCATCATTACTTAGAAACAAGGCCAGTCTCATGTTTAAGTGGAGGAGCAGCGATTTGTTTGTGTGTCACAAAGGCACACCGATAAGTCTCCCTCCACCCCAAACAAAAGCAGAAATAAAACAAAATGGAAAAAGTCTTAAGACTTTCTGCCATTAAACTATATGCCATTAAACTATATGCCTCCAGAAACTTAAAGATCCCGTTTTCCAAAAAGACCTTCATGATCCCTTTGAAAATGGCCCATAACCATCATCTTGAATCTGTCCTGACAAAGTCTCCTACCACAATTTACTAGCCATCTGTCATACATACGAGATACCATGTTGGAAAAAGAGAAGGAAGAAAAAGTTGCTGATGGTAGGGGGCAGAGCAAGATGAGCTTTTATTTATGCCTTGGGTCCACCCTGTGAATGCTCTTAACTTCTTCCAGATGAGTCAGGTTTACTGAGCTCCACCGAAAGCCCTTCTGCACAGGTTGCAGTCTGGCACACATTCCAGGTATGAATCCAGCTGGATTCGTTCATCGGCAGACCAGTGTTCTACCCCATCAGTCAGGAACAAATTTGAGTAACTGCTGGGTGCATGATTCATATGCTTAAAAAAGAAAAGAAAAAAAGAACAGCAACAAATAGTTTCCTACTTCTTCTGAATTTGGTGGGAAGAAACTGGATTGTCACTTTAGGAGCCATTTAGGATGTGTCCTCAGAGGCTGCTGCAGTTAGAAGGAATGTTAGCATTGTTAGTGTCTATTGAAAAGCTCAAGGCTTTAAAACCTGCCCTAACCATGCTGTAACTGTGGACTAAAGCAATAAAAAATGCCATTTGAACTAATGATACAGAGAAGATTTTTCACTAACACCCGAGTCGTCTGTCTGGAGATGGGAACTTAATGTGTGCTTCGTGTGATCACATGTGGGGTTTCATTAATTCTGCTCTGTCAGTCAAAGGCAACCAAATGAAGAGAAGGAAGCTGCTTGTGATATTATTCTTCGCAAAGAGAACCCTTTCCTGGCCCATCAGCATGGCAAAGATTCTGAGTCAGAAGATGAAGTGACATGTCGACTGCCTGATCTTGTGAAAGATGACTTTGCTGCAAGAAGAACAAGGATGAACCAGCCCAAGCCAATGGTGCCATTGAATCAACTCCTCTATGGGCCTTTTAGAACGAAAGAGGCAGAGAGATCAGATGGCAGCAAACTGTCAAAAGGAAGTGCAGAAAAGAAAAGTCTAGAACACAGAAGGTGTGCACTGTGTGTGTGGATGCAGAGAAAACATAAACAAAGGTGATTTGTATCAGTCCCATCCCTCTTTCCCTCCCGAATTACAAGTACTTAACTTGGACGTAGAACTCCAGATAGTCAACTTTTCCTAGATGCCTATATGTAAATGGCAGAGAGTAATGTGGCCATGTCCAAGTTAGGGCTAAATTTTGCAGAGAAACGTGGAATTTGCATGTGCACATTGTCACGTGTCGGTACAGATGTTGTTTGCTGGTGTATGTAGACATGTGCCATTGCCTTCCAAACAACAGCAGCCTTTTTTTTTCTTTTTAAAAAATCTTTATTATTATCATTATCATTATCATCATCATCATTTTATGTTACAGTTCCACAGGCCCCTGGGATTTCCCTTAACCCCTCCATTACATTTTTTTTTAATTACATTGCGTTATGTGACACAGTTGTAGGCACTGGGATCCCTCCCACCCCTCCCCCCATGGTGGATTCCTCCACGTTGCTGAAACAACAGCAGTCTTGCAAGGCTTCCCCAATCCTTCAAGGGTGGTAGAAGACATAGTTATTCTTGTGCAGGAAGAACTTCTATTAGCATCTTTGAGGTGTTGGGAGAGAAAAATGAGGCTTTCTCTTTCTTTCACAAATGATGATATTTCTCACCAAAGAACTCTCCAAGCATAAAATACACTTCTGTGTGTTCTGTCATCGAAAGTGTTTTCTCCCATTCTGTTAGTGCATGTTGGGCATCCCTAACCCAAAATCCAAAAATGCTCCAAAATCTGAAACATTTGAGCACTGACATGATGCCACTAGTAGAAAATTCCACATCTGACCTCTTGTAATGGGTCACAGTCCAACACAGGTGCACTAAAAATATTATGTAAAATTACCTTCAGTCTTTTAAAGTGTATAAAATATAAAAAAAAATTCGTGTCTACATTGAGTCTCATTCTCAAAATCTCTCATTATATATGTGCAAATATTATAAAATCTGGGAAGAAGTCTAAAATCTGAATGACTTTAATCCCATACTTATTGGGTAAGAGATATTCAACATATTGAATTAAATTCGAGAATGGAAGAACTGCAGTAGAATGTTATGTTGCCAGTGAGGAACTGTTCCTCAGAGGTACAGAGCATCGTATAATATGCCCACTCATAAATTTCATTCTGCAAAGTTTATCTTTCCTTATATCAAAATCTGAGTTAACTTCTTCATTGTGAAACAATTCTTTTTTACTCCATCACTTTGGTGGCTTAAAAGTCAGTTAAACTAACTTATCTGTGCTTTACACAGTTAACAATATTTTTGGTAGAATTATGGAGCCCAGCTAGTTGATGTTTCAAGATTTAATTAATATTTTATTTTCTAAAGAAGTGCCAGAGGCAGGTCTTTGGCTCACTTAAGATATCTGCATCAGGCCCAATACAGTGGCCTAGTGGCTGGGGTCCTCACCCTGCGTGTGCCAGGATCCCATATGGGCATCGGTTCTGATCCCGACAGTCCTGGTTCCCATCTAGGTCCCTGCTTGTGGTCTAGGAAAGCAGTTGAGGATGGCCCAGGGCCGTGGGACCCTGCATCCATGTGGGAGACTTGGAAGAAGTTCCTGGCTCCTGGCTTCAAATCGGCTCAGTTCAAGCCACTGCAGCCACTTGGAAGTGAATCAATGGATGGAGGATTTTGCTCTCTGTCTTTCCTCTTCTCTGTATATCTGCTTTCAAATAAAAATTTAAAAATTAACCTTTAAAAAATATAATAAAGATTTCTGCTTCTGCTCTCAGAATGGCTCGGTTCAATAACCAGTTGTCTTAATATCAGTTTTCCAGTGGTGCAGACCCTGGGAAGCAGCAGTGATAGCTCAAGTCGCTGCATTTCTGCCACCACACAGATTTGGATGAAGTTCCTGGTTTCCATTCTTGACTTCGACCCTGCTCATTACAAATGTTTGGGAACTGAACCAGAAGATAGCATCTTTTTCTGTTTCTACAGCTAAACTGTAAGAGAGGGGGGAGAAAGAGAGGGAGAGAAAGGAAAGAAAGAAGGAAGGAAGGAGGGAAGGGAGGAAGAAAGGTAGGCAGGCAAGGCCAGGCCAGATAGAAAACTCATGAAAGATCCCTGGTGGTAGAAAAGGTGTTATAGGTGGCACTGTATTTTTCCAGGACACACTATAGCCTTAAGAGCTTTGAGCCTTTGTGGTTCTTTTTGGTATACCTTATAACAAACCAATCGTGGAAGGCCAGGGGGGATGGACAAAGTCTTGCAAGTACAGCAAGTGCTTCTGAATAACTGGCTGTGGCAAGGCATTTGGATACCATCAGCAACTTGACTTAGGAAGAAGAGTAGCTTCTGGACCTTCTTTTTTGCTGTTTATCCACACAATTTAAATTCCTGATATTTCCAAGTGTGTTTGTTCTGTTGTTACCTGACTAAGGTCACAACAATGGATTCAGGGCAGCCCATCATCCCACTAGAAAGCTTCAAAAAAACTAATTTTTAAAAGGAAATATGAGATTTCTAGTGGGTTTTTTGCTATGTACCTTCTTGGTTCCTTCCCCCAAACTAAAAATAAATGGGAAATTCTATAGCTTTCATATTTAAATAGGCTCTAACATAAACACCATATTATCTGGGTAACAAATGAATATCTCTTGCTATTCAGGACTGGGTAATTTTTGTTTTAAGATTTACTTATTTATTTTCTTTAAAATGTAGAGTAACAGAAAGATTTTTCATCCTCTAGTTTGTTCCCTTAATCTAAGCAGCAGCCAGAGTTGGACCAAGCTGAAATCAGGAGCCAAAAATTCCATCCTGGTCTTCCATATGGAACCCAAGGACTTTATTCCCAAGTGCATTAGCCAGGAGCTAGATTGGAAACCTGCAGTAATGGGGACCTGAATTGGCACTCCAATATGGAATGCAAGTCCCAGGAAGTAACTTGACATACTGTATCACAATAACTGTTCTGGGTGATACATTTTTTGGGGGGTGGAAGGGACTAAGCCTTATTTATCTGCCTTTCTGAAATTTTTTTATCTGCAGAAGCAGGCTTAGTTAGAAATCAACTTTTGACATGTTCAAGTGTTTATACCTATAAACACCTCAACTTTGGTTTCTCATATGACAGCACTGTCAACATGAACCAGCTAATGTTTACTTCTTAGAGGAGCAACTGAAAATATCAATTATGAACAAAAGGCACTGACTTTAGAAATTCAGATAAGAGGACATAGTCTCTGTTGTCCAAGTTTGCATTAGCAGAGACTGAAATCTTTACACATTGAATTTTTGTTCAGAATTTGGATGCACTTTCTGGCAATTGTGAGTTTATAACTGAGATGTTTAATATGAGACAAGGATTCTGCTATCTCTAAACCAATCCTAGAATCTGGATCATGCAGAGCAACGTGCTAACATTTCATCAGTGCAGTAAAAAGCATTCTGAGAGAACTAAGGGATTTGATCAGAAAATGTGAATTCAATACAATCACTTGGACAGAGTGTGAATTTGGGCATCATGACTATCAAACTGAAATCTCATTTTCATTCTTTAGTCCTTTCAGCGAGTCCTGGTTTCTCTTCCCAAACTAGAGCCCCCATCCACTAAACAAGTTCTGTCTCGTTACAGCATTAGAAGAGCAATGTAGATCAAAGTTCTCCCCACTCCTATTGATTCCATACTTTTTGATTAGGGAATGATGCTTCCAGCATTGTGTTCCATCTGTGATGTTTGTCTTCCTTGCTTGATGTGCTGTTTGTCTGCGCCCGTTCTTTGAAACCAAATTGTCCAGTGACATGGGGCTTGGATCCAATTGGCAGAAATCAGGGCCAAACAGAAGAGGTGACGTCACGGATGGCCTGCGTCATGACAGTTCAGGAGGGGGAACCAGTGGAAGTGAGAATGAGAAAGGTGCCAGATCTTTACAAGGATGACCTGGCCAAGCGGAGAATTCAGAGCTGCCTTGGCCCTCAACGTGAGGCCCCAAGCTTCATCATACCCTCCAACATAACAGAAGCTGACCTGAAGACGTGGGAGAGACTGCAGGTGTCAGGGAAGACGAGGTGTGTCAAGTTTGCCCCTGTCAGTCATATTCTTTATCTCTCGAGAAGTCAGGTGCTTATCCTTGACCATTTCTTATTTAAAAAGATGCCTCTAAAAACACAGAGCTCCTGGTACTAAGTGTGTTCAGATGAAATTAATCCTAAAAGCTTCAAATGAAATGTTCAAATGAAATTAATCCTAAAAGTTTCAAGCCACACAGACAGGAAAACATCCTCTGACCATCTGACTTTCTATGAATGGTTATTTATCTTACTATGTTTGTGTACTGTAGAAAATTTTTCAAGAATTTAATTATTCCACTACATGTAAGATTTTCCTATGCCCCCATTTATGATATTATATTTAATACTTTAACCAAAATAGACTTAAAGAGACTTAAAGCCCTGCTTACTCAGGCAAGAAAATGGTCATTTTTGCAAATGGTTGGTCAGTGGAGAAGTAATATTGCTCTAGCCACAGGTAATTCTAGAATTTTCTAGATACCCTCTTGTTGATTTGTACTTGCCTTAGAAAACTTTGGAACTTCTTTCTGGTTCTGACTAGGGATGGAGACTCTCAGCACATCCTTGCCCCCGAGCCTTCGCCAGAAATTAAAACAGAAACTGCCATCCGGGATGACTTTGCTGGCCGCAAAGCCAGGGCCTATAAGAAAGCTTCCAGCCCTAGGCAAAAATTTGTGCATTTTGGGCCAGTAACAGAGATAGACCAGCAGACATGGAAGCGGCTCAGCATTGGCAAACCTGGGCCCCGGAAGGGCGTAGAAGACATCAGTTACAGTGAAAGGGTTCAAACGCCCTCCATCCCCCCTGCCTCCGCAGCTACCACTGGCTCCAAGGAAGCCCGGATGCACACTCCCCTGAATGACCACAGGTATCTCAGCATCCAGGGGCAGGGAGCTCTGCATGGGAGCTACTGCTGCTGCTGCTGCTGCTATTTAAGGGTTTGCACACTAAACAAAGCCCTAATGATGACATTATTATCGCAGACCCTGCTGCTGGGTCTGTGGGTCACCTGGAAGCTGTATGTGTGTATGTGTGTGTGTGTGTGTGTTGAAAACTGCGGGCAAGCATGTTGATTCTGTTTTCCTCAGGATGAGTGCCTGGGGATGCCAGCAGCCCCAGGAAATGACCCCTCCCCTGAGTGGCTCCAAACCTCCAAACTCTGCTTTATTAATTGAAGATGCCAATGGGACTATAATATGGCTAGAATGTTGCAACAGTATTGTTAATGTTGTTCTGAAAGATAAATTGGTAAGGATCAGGCTTTGCCTAAAGCCATGCTCTTTCCTGTGCCTCAGGGAGGAAAAATAATAATGTCATAAGTGCACACTTTGTACATCTCAGTAGACTCAGAAAAAAATATGCAGGTCTCTGATGTTTTAATAATATTTACTAACTCCCAAATATAAAACACTGCTCTTTGCCTGGGCTGGGGATGGGAAAGGGAATTGCTATAAATTGGGAGTATCCATGGGTGAATTCCCATCCAGCCTGGTTCCAGAGTGCACGGGAGATGACAGTATAAGAGAGTAGGCTGTGGATAGAATCAAACTTAGCTCACCAGAGGTGCATGGCTGGGGCTTCAGTGGCTGGTAGAGATCTGAGGTGGAAGAGGGTAGGAAATTCATTAGGAATGCATCCTTGTGTGCTTGCATCCTGAGCGGCTATCCTAGCTTGCTTCCATGGTGGCAAACGCAGGCCAGCCCTCCTTGACTTTCTCAAGCTCTTGCTACGCATCTCTTTTTCCCAGTCTGACTGTCATCTTTCCTAACTGGCCTTGGAGTGAGAGCAACTGTAATTTCATCTCAGTGCCCTCCTACTGTAACCCCTTTTCCTCTTCTCTCTTGCCACCTGTACTTGATCAACAACAGAATAGTGAATTCTGGCATGGATGACTGTTGCCAAAGGGACTCTCGCCCGATTCCTGTGCCAGAGTCTCAGGAAGAGTGGGGCTGCAGTTTGAGTGAGTGCCCCAGAAAGACAGAGGAAGGTGAGGAGCCCTGTCCCCTGCCTCCCCAAGAGGTGAAGGGTGACAGGTGGGGTCAAGGCCTCTGGTAAGAATTTTTTCCTAGTAGTAAAACTATCCTCTCTGGCTTTAGTTACATCCACACAGTTGCCACAGGGTGGCAAAGAAGAAAACGAAGGAGTTGTTCAAGGAGATGCTGAGGTGTTGTCCAAAGCAGAATATCCTGTGGAGAACACTCAGCCACTGTGAGCATCCTGCCTGCCTTCCATGGTGTGCTGCCTCTGCCATGTGTGGCCAGTATGCACTCGGTGATTGATGCAATGGGGAGGAAGGTCAGGGACAGGAATGTCCCTACTGCGGTGTCAGAGTTCTGCTTCTGGTGCCCTTGCTGGGGAGACTGTAGGCTTTGCATGGGTTGGGGACTGGCCAGATTCCATCTGCAATAATCATGAAAATCAGAAAGGGAACCTATGTGAGTGCCAGCTGCATGTTAGAGATTCGGTGTATTAAAAGGGGGGAGGGGATTACTACTCTGCTGCTGTGTACTGCTGCCTCCAATACCATTGCCACCTTCTGTTTTGAATTAATCCCAGTGAGTGATGCTACTGGAAATACCATTAGTGATCAGTGGGCCTTTGATTGTCTGGACTGAATGTTGTTCTAGTACGAGTGCTTGGGCCTGTGAAGAAGAGACTGTAGGCACAAACGAGAAGTAGGAAAAGATGACAGCTCCTGTCTGGAGCACCAATGGAACAAAAGACCCGAAGAAGCTGGCTGATTCACAAAAAGATCACATGGTGGCCAGGAGAACTGGGTTGGCCATGAGACACACCGATTCCTGCTAGTTCCAGTTGCAAAGCAACAGGATGCTGAGAAACCAATCAAGGGTCCAGCCATGCAGGATCAGAAGTCAGGTGCTCCCTGTGCCCAATGCCTTTGTTCCCCTGGTCTGAACCTTAATACAGACTTTAAGTGTGGTGTTAATGTACATGGTGCATCAGGGACACTTATCTGCTATTGCTAGCAGCAATGAAATGACTAAAATCGGTCTTGAACAATTTTTTGTGTGTTTTTTTCCTTTTCTTTGCATGTTAACATGAGCTAAAATCATAGTTTACTGGTGAATTTACACATTAAATATTGTCTCACTGTCACTCTTGTGGCCAGAATAAATGGAAAATTCTTTTATCCTTCCTGCCTCTGGTAGGAGCCTGTAGATGAATGGATTGCATTTCTTCCTGACCTGCTCTATCACTCCTTGATTCCAGGCCAAAAGAAGAGGAATACCACTTACAAAATGTGTAATTTATTATCCAACATTAGCAAATGCTTGTTGCCTTTTGAGGGTGGGGTTTCTATTCTGTATTCTGCCTTGGTTTAAAAAGAGTAGGGAAATAATAGACTGGAGTTCATATTATAGAATGAGGCACTACATGCTGAAGTCTCATTGTCTTTTAGTAGGAGTGACATGAGGGCTACAAGTGTGAGCCACCTGATGGACATTCAGCCCAAAAGTGAGGAGTGTTTTTCATAATTATAAGTTCACTAGAGCATAGGAAATGTTGGAGTTTTGCTTGTTAAAGGATATAGATGTCACTGGGACAGAGTAACAAGAAGGGAGAACATTGTGTAACCTCCGTTCTTCAAGTTGGTATCCTGACCATCTGTGTCCCCTGTTTTAGCCTGTTTTACCTTCTTCTGGGTAAGAATGATAGAGTAGAGCCTTTGCTGCCACACTGTTATCAGGAGGCATGGGTGGTATTTATGTTTTGCGTTGATGAAGTGTTATGTAGCCTTTTCGGAGTATGTCTACCCTCTCCTGGGAATGCATGAGTCGGATAAATGGATGTTAATCCCGTCTCACAAACAGGAAGTATGGTATAATGTGAAGAGAGTGGGTCCCATGTGGTTCCCCACTGATGTGTGGCAGGACTGAGTAGTCAGCCTGGCCCTCCACAGTTGCTCACATTCCAGGTGCCCCATCCTGGAGCTTGGCCCTGGCTCGGTGGTGCTGTAAATCAAGTTAGAATGAAGGTGAAGGAGGAAGAGAGGTTTACTGCCTGTTGGGTATGATCTGGATGCTCTCCTGCTTCTTTATTCCTTCTGAGAGTTAAGAATTTATATTTTCATTTGTATCTTTTGAGAGTTTAGAATTCCCATCTGCATTTGCAGTTAGCAACCTAGGCCCACATACTCAGAATCCAAGTCAGTGGAATGGAAGACCACTACCCCACGCTAGCTCATTGCCTACACAGACTATAACAGAGGAACCTGTGGACGCTGGGGAACTTCCTGCTGCTCCCATCGCTTTACTGTCTTTGTGGTCCAGAAAGAATCCACTCTACCCAAGCGAAGATGATTCATTTGATCAGAGGGAGATATGGTCACGTTACTATGTGAGCTAACTCGGTGATTGAGCCAATATGCACCTTGGGAGTTCATATTTCCTTGCAGTAATACCTAACCAAATAATTATTATGTTTAAAAGATTCTGTTGGGTGCTGGGGGATCATTTAAATGAGCAGTAAAAGCTTTTCCCCTCCCCCTCACATGGAAGCTAATGCAAGTTCACAATGTAGAAATGTATCAACAGCCAATTATTTACTCTGAATGCTTTCATAGTACTGAGAGTTACATGCTACAATCAGTCCATTCATAAGCACTCCCTTTATCTTTCTATATATCCTTGCCCTTAAAAGTAAACTTTATTGACTTTTTTTTTGCTTCAATACTTATGCCTGCTGTAATTTGGCCAATTTTGTAGCCCATGAAGCATGGGGTACGTTAACTCACCAACTTTGCTTTTTAAAAATCCATAAGTGATTTTTCTAATAATTTACCCTTATTTTTATGTTTCTTGTAAGATAACTGGGGAAAGCACTTAAAGTTCAAGTTCTAATTATCTTCCCTTACCAACAAAGGCAATTCTGCTTAAGATGATGCCCTTTGAAAGCTAATGAATTAGTTGGACAGGAAATTCCTAAAGTCTACAATTGCATTCAAAGAAGGATAAATGCTGGTTATCCTCAGAGACTGTAATTTCTTCAATTTCCCAAGTCCTCAATAAGTATTCCACAAATGCTTATTGAGGGCCAGTCTGATCACTGTTCAGGAAATCCACACAGCAAAGTCCTCCGCTGTCCCATGAAGGTTAGAGTTTACTTTAAATCTCTGTAGGGGAGATGTCTGAAATGTTGTAAATTATCTTATGCAGAAACAACTTAACTTCAGATCTGTATGCAACAAAATAGCTAAACATCTTCAAAAGGAAACTGAACTTGTGCTAAAGCAAACATAAGAATGCATGCAGTGTGAGTACACTTATATAGAGCAAAATATAACACTGATATAAAGATACTTATTCAGGTAAATGTGTAGAGTGTATACTTTATGTTATGCTTCAATAAAATATTAATTCTGAGTTTTTAGTGAAGGACACAGAAACACATAAAAGCTATTCATAGATTATTTCTTATCTATCCATTAAGATTAACTTCTGTTAACATAACTTCTGTGCTCTCTTCCATAGGTAATTTAGAAAATGCTTGCTTCAGTAATTCTGTTCCAACAGATATGTTTTTTAACTGGGAAACATTTCTCCACTCTTCAGAGTTAGAGGACATTCATCATCTACTTCAGTCGGGTAGTGGTTTTTAGAAAACTAGGAATAATAAGTTAAAATTTTAACACTTTCTGGACCTATCTCCTGGAGAAACAGCAAATGAGTCTTCCAGAAGAAAACCATTTGCAAACCTTTTTCCTGGTTTGATTTTGGCCATCTCCACAGAGATTTGAGGTTTTATCCTGGTATGGTCACCTTCATTATGATGAAATTATGAATGCATTAGAATAAATGCCTAGGAAAGAGGAGAGTACCAGTGTGTGTAGCCATGTGTGCCAGGTGTTTTCTGTAAGGTTATAGGTAGGAAGAGGTCTTCAGGAGTTATTCTTTTTTCTGTAAAGTATCATGAAAATGAGCATAAGCCCAGGTAATTTTGCTGATAACCCTAGGATGCAGTTTATTGGAGGCAGAAAGCAGAGGGTCTGTTTTCTTCACTGAAATAACTCATTGTCTGTATCAGACTATAACAGTTAGCAGACTCTCAGGGTCAAGGTAAGAAGCAGTCCTTAAAATTCACTTAGAAGAAAGATTTATTTGTGAAGCTCCATTTAAAAAAAAATACTTAAAATTTACTGTTGAACTATTTGTCTAATTTACTATTTGGTTTGCTTTGTCAGATGCACGTAGAGTAAAAGTGACTTTGTGGCAGAGTACAACTTTATTTATGTCATCAGAAGAATATAAAAGATTAGGGAAACTTGGGTTTTGCAAGTTGTGGATTATCATCCAAGTCTGGTTTTGATTAAAGCTACCAGCTTTCTAGGAATTGTGGTTTTTGTCACATGCCTGCAGAAGGCCCTGATTGGGGTTCTGGTTTGAGTTCAAGTTTGCTTCCGGAAAACTTTGGAAACTTTGATGTCGCTTGTACAACTGCATTAACATGTCAGGGACAGAGGTAGTGAGGGCATGCTTGGATGTTGCAGGTCCATTATAGCCCATTAGCACTGAGCACAACGGCATGAAAAGTTTTGCTGTTTGTAAATGACTATTCGACATATCTTTTTAAAGCTACCTTATCTAAACGTTGTGGTTTGTATCAAAGCCTTTTCATTATATTGAATGGATTCTTTGTGAGTAACATGGGAGATAACTTTCATTGATCCTCTGGGTCTTAATATAAACTTTACATTCTTTAGAACAATCTAGACTTTTCTTTCATTTGCAGCAGCATTAACGACTATTGCTAATTGTATAACGACATTTCTCTTCCAGTATGATCAGCGGATAAGTTTGGCACACATGTATTTCACTAGCTGTTTTAATTTCCAGTTTGGTTACACTGTTAACTTATCTGTCCTACCAGTCTTCTAACTTTGTATTTGGTCTTATAGATACGGTCCGAGAACTCCTGTGTCTGATGACGCAGAGTAAGTTGTTTTGTGTTTGTAGGATTACATTAATTACTAGCCTAAACTGCATGCTTCCAGTACTTACCACTAATTGAAATGCAACTTATGCAACAGTGAACTGACTAGTTAACTGAGTTATGTAGCAAAGTGCTTCAAGTTGGAATGCAGAACACATGTCCTATATGGGAAAGATGAATAAAAAGGCAATCTAAGCATGATTCTAATGTGCAGCTGCTGCTTAAAATTTAACATTTGCTTTTCATAGCATGTGAAAGTAATTCTCATTAGGGTTTGTACATTGGTGCCCCTTCTGAACCATGAGATTGTCAAAAGGGAATTCTGAATTTCACATTTACTTCTTGATATGTTAGGGCTTCAAGTAAACAATAAAGTAGTCATTCCCTATTCACATTTTTTAAACTAAGAAAATAAATCCTAAGCCACAAATTATACCTTCAGAGGCCCAAGTTCCTCCCGGGTTGGAGTCACATAAACTGTGGGAATGCTGGAGACCAAAACATTGCAGTCTTGTCCAAGTTTTGTGGCATATGGAGGGGTTGAGGATGTAAAACATGACTTGGGCTGCTTTTCAGAGATCCATTCCAGCCCTAAAAGCTGCATTTCAGGAGAATCCACCTGCTTCCATTTAGGACCCCAGTAACTCCCTTGCAAAAGTGGCTATCCCTTGTGCAGGCCATTCTGAGACTGGTACACAGGGTGGAAGCTTGCAGGATACTAGCCTTCTTGGGTTCAAGTCACTGGTCTTCTTCAGAAACAGAACCAATACTAATCCCAACAGCAAGTGCTTACTGAGCTCTAGGAGAGGCATTCTGTGGGCTCCTGGTAGGCTTGGATTTCCAAAGAGTGGACACCTGCTCTCTTCCTGCCTGTTTCCCTGGCCTGAGGCTATAGTTTCAAGTCATGAAATTAGGTCTTCAGCTAAGGGGATGGCACACATAAATCCCACTTTCATCCGAAGACAGTGATTACCCATTGTGCTTGACTTCATCTGGACTCTTGTTAGTACTAAACAGTCCAGTTTGGGAGTCCAGTTTCCGATGTCTCATCTGGCTGGGTTAGTGGCCCCCCATAAAAAATGCTCATGCCTCTAAACCAAGTTCAACCACAGCTTGATTGACTGTGCAGAGCTAAGTAGTCTATGAAATTGAGCCCCCAGTTATTACTTTCAAAACCTACTGTGGAAGTATTTAACATTCCCTGAAAGGAAGATTATGTAAGATTGATAGGCAAAACACCACTCTGATTTGGCAAGCAAAAACATTTTGATAGAATGGATTTATTTTTCATCAGTGCAAAGCTGCTGTGCAATCTGCCTAAAATAGATCTCTGGGAATCCCCAAAAGGTAAAAGAAAGGAAGTTGTATTTGAGAGCTTTTGGATTTTGCCTGTACATGCATGAAACCTCACCCACAGGGAAAGTTAATGATTTTCTGAAAGATGTAGAAATGAGGACTGCCCTCTATTCTCTTTCAAGTTTACAAAGAGCATATGCAGCGACTAAAACTGGTAAAAGGACTCTCTTTTCCAGAGATCTAGAAATATCCAAAGTGCAGAATTTCTTGTTTGGAATACTCACAATCTTCATGAACCCAAAGGGATTTAAAATGAAAAATTGATATCAGCTCATTTTTATGCAAGTTATTTATTTACTTACTTACTTACTTATGTGAGAGCCAAAGTTACAGAGAGAGGAAGAAAAGCAGAAAGAGATTTTCCATCCACTGGTTCACTCCCCAAATGAGCAGAACAGCCAGGACTGGGCCAGGCTGAAGCCAGGAGCCTAGGCTTTCACACTGGTTTTCCACATGGGTAACAGGGTACCAAGCATGTGGGCTATCTTCTACTGCCTTCCCAAGACATTAGCAGGTAGTTAGATGAGAAGTGGAGCAGCTGGAACTCAAGTGAAGCCCATACGGAATGCCAGTCTTGCAGGAAGTAGCGTCACCTGATAAATCACAACAGCACCGGGAGTTCATTTTTTAAATACAAATTTATGCTATTGTTAGTTTATTCCCCCTTCCCCACCCACCTCCCATCTGTCTTTCCCAAGATCTTTAAAGGCAAATTCCTGGCTCAGGCTATGTTTATTAATCATTGACACATTTAAAACATCTATCCAAAACAAGAAGAGATGTGCCCTTTAAGGAGAATGTAGGTCAGAGAACCACATAGGCCCACTGTGGAATTTCCGCCTCCTGGACAGCCAGGAACATTTCCGTGGATTTCATTTCACCTTCCTGCCCCCTTTGCTCTCTTGCCCAATCCTCCTCCCTCAACACTCCACCAGAGCAGCCTGTGTCTTACGAGAGCCACAGGCCACTACCATTCTGAATTCCCCTAGCTTAGTCTTGGCCCAGAAACAATCTTCAGGCTCCTTTTGAGGCGATTGAATTCGTGTCCTCAAAAATGCACCTGTGCTATGTCGCTGGAGGCATTTGTCGTGGCAGCTAAGGGCATCAGCAGTGGTGCTGTGTGCAGATTGGTTCCCAGCCATGCTGGTATGCTGGAAGCCAGGCGTCTCCAGGGCTCCCCACCCTCCAGGTGCATACTTCATTACGGAGGCCAAATTCAGCCCTGAACTAGGAAACATACCATGTGAACAGTGACTCAGCCTATTTTCTATTTAGTATTGCCAATTCTCAAATTTCTCAGTTCCTTTTTTTTCATAGCATGACATTTTTACTGCTTTTTAAAATTCTTTCTTTTGGGGGGGACCAGTTGGTTGCTAGTCCTTTTTTAAAAAAATATTGGGGGAAAAAATTGTACTTCCTAGTGCATGAAGGGGCAAGCAGAAGTTTCTCTTTTTATTGTACTAAGTAATTTTGGCCTGGTGGAGCTGGGGCAGCCTGATCTTGACTATGGGAATAGAGATGGGAGTCCAAGAGAGAGGAGGGCAGTTCTGAAGGCCAGGCTGCTGTCTCCTGTCCACCTAGTGGGTGAGATAACCAAGTGCCAGGTCCTGGAAAGGGCTCCCATTTTCATCCTGGATACCTTCTCGGCCTAAGCCATAGTTCTGCCCATTAGCACTCAGAAAACCAATGTCTTCCTTTCTCAGCTACAGCCTGCCAGCTCCTCAGAAAGAGATGGTAATCTTTTAAGATCTTAGCAAAGATGATAAATAGCTTTAAAAGATGAACCCACTGGGTTAGGCCTGGTAAGGTCAAATTTTTGTTTTTCAGTGAGCTGTGAGAGGAATGAGATGAATTTCTATCTCTTTCCAAAATGCCCACTAACGTAAATTGTGACTGATGAGATTTCCAAAAATCTGGGTTAGACATTTCCAGCTAACCTTAAAAATTCCTAAATCTTAGCACAACATTAACATAGCACACAACCGGCCCTTCTCCTCTGGGAGAGATGGCAGTCCACTTTTCCAGAAGGACAGCTGAGGTCAGGACTGCTCACCAAGCGTGAAGGCAGCTTCAGAAGGTGGCTTATTGTACCCATGCTCATCTGAGCTCAGATGGCAGGCCTTCCATGCAGCAAAGGTCCTGGAGGACACACACACTCTTGAGTACTAGCTCTTGTGGGTCAGACTTCAGCATCTGCAAAGACAGGCAGAGATACCCACCATCCTCCTCCCAGGCTCCCTCTGGGTACGCTGGGCCCAAGGTGAGAGCTGGTATTTCCGGGGTTGTCAGCTTGACTGAGCAGCGAGCTGCCTGCAATGCCCACGTTCACTGTACGCCATGGCACCATGGCTCCCGTTGCCTGGCCACGATGGCCAGCATTCCTGATGCTGTCTGGCGCTACCTCATGTCTGAGTGCATGGCTTCTCTTCTCCTTTGTGTTCAGCTGGCTTCAAAACTGGGTGAGCCTCGCTGCCTTCTGTGTTCTTAGCAGTGACCTCTGAGCTTCCAAGGGCCCCTCTGTTGCTTGATTATTGAACCCTGTATCCTGCTTGGCCACAGAGCTGGTCATTTTTATTTTTAAAGAAAAAAAAAGGATTTTGCTTTGGTTTCTGTTTTCATCTTGCTGCTTCAGCTTTTGCTGTTGTAAGGGTGTATGTCAGCATCACAGAAAAGACCCTGTGACCTTGCCCAACATTTAGCAGTTTCCTGTGGAATAGATTGGCCCCTTTATGTGTAGCCTTAGGTATTTTTAAAGTCTACATTCTCCATCCTCTTAAAGAAGTAAATTCAGAATTATCCTCACAAAAATAAAATGGCATAATTGTGTGTCTATCAGGAAATGAAGTCTGTACTATTTCTATATTGTATACCTTATTATTATAAAAACAGTTTATTTTATTGTTCCTGAAATGCAGTCAGTGGCACTGGGAATATGGACACTTTTGACAGGAAATTGATAGAAATAGCCACTTATACGTATGTGTCATCAACTCATACGTTGTTAAATGCATTCAACAACTCAAAATAAAATAGCATCCTAAGCTACGCTTGAGGCTGTGTGATGCTATTGTTTGTTTGAAGATGGGGCAGTGGTCTTCTTTCAATGTAAAAGCACTTAAGCCAGCTCTCTACACCCAATCGATTTGCTGTAATCAAATCTCACCAATCAGAACCCTGTCCTTCTTCCCCTTCAAAAGGTCTCTCTACCTTGTACATCTTTTAATTCTTTTTAAAGACATTTCCAAATGAGAGGAGCCCCAGGGTCCTGACACCTCTCTAGCTCTTCTTTGGCGCCTATTTTAGAGTGATGCTGACCCGATTTGGTGCCACCCCTGAGGACAAAGGCGGCTGCATCCTGGCTTTTGTGCTCGCTGCAGGTGCAGGGGCGGGGAGTTAGCGGGTGCCTGGCTACTCGAGGGAACCGGCGCTTCGCAGGCCCGCCGGCGCCACCACGCGGCCCGACCGCCGAGCGAGCTTGCGGGGCACCCGAGGGATGCTAACGACCGCGGGGTTTTGTCTACTCTCCCCACACGCAGGAGCACGAGTATGTTTGACATGCGGTGTGAAGAGGAGGCCGCCGTGCTGCCGCACAGCAGGGCCCGCCAGGAGCAGCTGCAGCTGATCAACAACCAGCTGCGGGAAGAGGACGACAAATGGCAGGATGTGAGTTCCGGCCGAGGCGGGCAGCAGGGGCTGGGAGGTTGGACTTGCGCTGGACAGCCATGCTGGACCAGTGGTGCTCCAGAAGAGTTCCCTAAGGTGTCCACAGGACAGTGTGGGTAGTAAGCATGGTGAGAATCCGGTAAGGCAGTTGAATGAGGAGGACTCGTCTGAGATGGTCTGCTGAGAGCCGAGGCAGAGAAGGGAAAAGGTGGAAGGCAGGGTCACATGAGCACTGAGCCAGCTGTTACGGACTGGATTCCATCACTGGTGAAAGCAGTTACCATCTCCAGAGGCCATGCAAGGCAGTTGTTGTGATGGCTAAAATGTCTGGAGCTCTGTGTGCCTGACACCTTGGCATTCAACCCTGCTTGCTTGTAGAAAGGATGCCACTATCATTCCCATTTTTCCCTTTTTAGAGGTGAGGAAACTGAGAATTGCGCTTAAGATTCCAAAGCATGGAAAAGACAGAGCTGGGATTACTTCCCATCCATCTGACTCCAGAGCCCTCACTCCATTAGGTTATAACTTCCTGTAGAATTTGTGGTAGATTTATTGTATGCATCAAATGAATTAATAGTTATGGAACAGGTGCATCTGTGAGACTGCGCAGTCCATTGTTTCTGCCCTTTACTTCCTCTCAGGAGGAAACTCTCAATTAATTCTTGCCATGCTGTTGTCAGCAGATCTCTTCACAGGACAGAGACTGGAAATGGGAAGAAGTGGTTCACACTATTACCTTGTGAGGCAGCGCTCTAAACTGTGGCCAACTGACATGAACCAAGTTTGTGTTTGTGCACATTGCCATATTTAAATTCACTATCTGGGTATGGACAAATCAGATTCTATCTGAATGCACATACCTATGAGGTGTTCCAATTCCAATCAAACTTCAACTGGGTTGTAGGGGAATGCCCTGGCAGAGTGCCTCATCTCAGTGTTGACTGAAATATGATGCAGGGTAGGCATTGGATGCATTCGGTAAGGTGCTGCCTGGGACACCTGCATCTCTTTTGGAGTGACTGGTTCAAACTCTGGCCTGCCTGCTTCCTTTCCAACTTCTGCTAATGCACACCCTGGGAGGCAGCAGGTGGTGGCTCAAGTAGTTGAGCCCCTGTACCCATATGGGAGACCTGGATTGAATTCCGGGATCCAGAGCCTGCCCTGGCCCAACCCTTGTTATTGTGAACTTTAGGTGGGGATCTTTCCTCTCCCACCCTCCATCTGTCTGTCTCTGTCTCTCTGCCTGTGAAATTAGATGAAAATAAACTTTTAAGTAAAGAAGATGCACAAAAAAAAAAAAAAAGATTAGTAAGAGTCAAGTAAATAGACCCAGAAGAGAAGTGGAATTCTGCACAGGCCTGAAGAATGCTGTCTCTCTCCCCCAGGACCTGGCTCGCTGGAAGAGTCGTAGGAGAAGTGCATCTCAAGACTTGATCAAGAAAGAGGAAGAAAGGAAAAAAATGGAGAAGTTACTGGCTGGAGAGGATGGAATGAGTGAACGAAGGAAAAGCATCAAAACCTACAGAGAAATCGTTCAAGAGAAGTGGGTTCTCTCTGTGGTTGCGTCTTTCTATGCAATATGATCTCGAAGTGCTTTTCCTAAAACTTACCTATCACAAATACCCTGAACCTGATCCTTTACATACTCATCGGCTCTGTCTTGCTTCTTTGCCATTTCCACATCTGCTGACTTTAATCCTTGCTTTCTTCTCCCCTTACCCCAACTTAGAGAGCGGAGAGAGAGAGAGCTTCATGAAGCATATAAGAACGCACGGTCCCAAGAGGAGGCAGAGGGCATCTTACAGCAGTACATCGAGAGGTTCACCATCAGTGAGGCTGTCCTTGAGCGCTTGGAGATGCCAAAAATCCTGGAAAGAAGCCATTCAACGGAGCCAAACTTATCCTCCTTCCTGAATGACCCCAGCCCCATGAAATACCTACGGCAACAGTCACTGCCTCCACCCAAATTCACTGCCACTGTTGAAACCACCATCACACGAGCTGGTGCCCCGGATCCTAGCACGGCAGTAGGCAGTGAGTCTCCCAGCAAAACTGTCACTCCCAAAGCAGTGCCTATGCTGACCCCCAAGCCTTACTCCCAGCCCAAAAACTCACAAGAGGTTCTGAAGACCTTTAAGGTAAGACAGCTTTCTGAACAGTCAATTCCAAACTGAGTCACAGGTAGTTAGTGAAATGGTGCATCCTGAACTGGGAAAACATGATTATTTTTACCACCCAAAAGCAAAAAATATTGACACTTGCCAACTGCCCATTTCTGTGTCAGGAGATTGTGGTGGCGATGATTTAATCAAGATAGGAGTCACTCTTGATGACTATGGTTAATACTGATGGGCTCTGATGACACTGAAAGTTCATCTCTAGAAGCAAGGTGTATTCTCCAGCTTGGTACAATGCATGGTCTCACTCTGGAAGTGGTAATAGAGTGACAACCTAGGATCTCCAGCTATGAGACAAAGCATACCTCATAAAGCAAAATTCTAACTGCTTTTGGTTTAAATAGATGATAACAGCTGCCTCTCCTTTAAGAAGAAATTAACAGGGTATCCAAAAAGGTGCAATGATTAACAAAAAAAATACAAGGAATACATGGAAACATAGGAGATACTTGGTACTCAGAAGAGACAGGTAGTCTTTTACAAGAAACAAAACTGGGTTGTTTTTCCTAAGAGTGTACAAATCAATATTCCAGAACAAAAAGACCTGTGACAACACACATCTTTCACTTCCTCAGCTGCCAGCATCTCACCTCATATTGTGACAAAACATTTGTTCTTTGTTTTAAACTCTTCTGACTACAGAGAAAGCTTATTTCTCATCCTTGCACACCACATGAGCTTGTAATAGAAGACAGAGGGGATTGCCTTCCTAAGAAATGTGACCATTATGGCTGCACACATTTACATGACTGAACTAATCGAGTGGTGTGATGCTATACATTTTCCTGATTGGATTTCAGAGAAAAGCAGCTACACATTTTTACTTCTGCTTAGATACTCTGAATATACCTTAAAATTGTGCCTTAGGCTTTGATGGAACAATGCTGAGAGAGAAAGAGAGAGAAAGGGAGAGAGAGAGAGAAACTGTCTCCTCTGGATTGAATTGAGACAGCTGTCCCTTGGCAGGGAAGGACGGGACGGGTTCTTCTTATTTGTAGTTCCATCCTGAGAGCCTAGCAGAGGTGCCCAGGACAATTGTGGCCAAAGATAATGTGTAAATCTGACAGTTATTAACAGTTAATGCCTGGCCAGAAGCCAAGGTGTATGTGTGTGTATACAAGCATACTTCAAAATTTCATGGAAAATTGATCCAAAAGATTGTTTTGGTGAAAAAAATTTGACATCCATGCATATGAAAGTCTTCAAAAAGTTTATGAAACCTGTTTATTATTAATAAAGCATGCATGGATTTAAAAAATACTTTTGCACTAAAATAAAATTAATTTGATTTTTCTGCAGATTATTTGAAGTACCCTAATGTATGTATATGCTTTCTGGGGGTCAGGAAGCAAAAGATAGCACCTCCAGTTGCCTCCCCAGTGTGGCAGAATTAGGAGCAAGGCGAGATCAAGTGTAATCATCTAAGGCAATGTCTTGCAAACCAGCTATCAGCTGTTGGAGGTTATAAAGTCAGTTTGGTATCTGGAATCAGCACTTAAAATTAAAGTGATTTAGAATATAATTTTTTTAAAAAGCCAGCATAGTTCACCAAGCACAATAGTGATGCATATTGTTTGGAAGAAGTTCTGTTTATGTTTGTGCTGAGCGACAATTTAAAGTGTTTTTTCTGAGTAACACGTGATAGAGCATGAGCGTGAGTGAAAGTAAGCTAACGTGTATCTGGCTTTTCAGATATTCTTCCTCATCTTTTTGAAGATTTTCTTTTCATAAAATATTTTGAAATATGTAGAGGGCTTAATGACAACAGCTAATACTTAAGTACTTAAAATGGGCCAGGTAGCCCCTTTCCTACACGTGAGTGAGATCACCTTATTTTAAATATTGGAGTTGAGCACAGAGAATAAGAAGCTTACTGAAGGGGTGAGCTTATGATGAAGCAGCTAAGACACTGGAAAAGCCCAGATTAGTATTCCTGGATTCAAGACTCTGCTCCCAAATCCAGTTACCTGCACATTTGGGGAATGAACCAGCATATGGGAGCAGTTTGTCTGTCTGTATTTCTTTCTATTTCCCAAATAAATGAGTGAATGAATGAGTAAGTAAATAGCAGGGGTGGGAAGGGGAGCTAGTTGAGTCTGCTGAATGGTAGATCTGGGATTTGGTCTCACTATACTCTACATTCTGCCTCAAACTTCAACAGACTTTTAGGTGCCTTTCATTACAGCAGGCTCACCACCTTGTCTGCTTCTCCTTTCTTTATGCACCTTCCCTAACTACGAGTGTAAAGCAAAAAAAAACCATTTTATTTTAATGATTTCTCTGGAAAAATTTAGGTTTACAAAATCAACTGGATTTTTTTTTTTTGGTATCATGGCATCATGTTTCCTGCTTTCCATGACAGCTATAATAACAACATATCCATTGTCACTTCCACCATCATGAGGTGACATGTAGAATATATCTGATAGAAGTGGGGCATCCCACCTAATGTCTAGGTTAACCAGAAAAAATAAGCCAATTTATGAAATCACAGTTTGATGTTAAATGAAAAATTGCTAGAACTGAAATCTGTGATTTGTACAAATTTAAGATCCTTTGACTTTCTGTGCTTTGCAATGAAAGAACACCATAAATGAAATGCACATGAAATAGAATTCATATGGAAGTAGCCTAAGAAGACCAACTGCCTCTTTAAGATAGTATTTGTAAAAACCTTGAGTTCTAGAACCCATGAAAATATTTAAGAGCTCTTATTCTTTATTGGACTGTGATTGCCAAGTGAAAAGCCTATAGGAGAATTTCAGTTTGTTTGTTTGTTTGTTTGTTAACATCACGAGTTGAGGAATAGCATGTTTTTGTTCATTGTGGCTTCTATAGGTAGATGGGAAAGTCAGCATGAATGGGGAGACAGCCCATGGTGATGAGGAAGAGAAGGGAAGACAGAGCCCTACAGTGCCACCTGCTCTGTCTCTCACCAAGTCCCAGATGTTTGAAGGTGTGGCCAGAGTACACGAGTCACCAGTGGAGCTCAAACAAGACAACAACGGCATCGAGATCAACATAAAGAAGCCAAATTCTGTTCCCCAGGAAGTGACAGTAAGAACCACACTTGTTTTTCCTCTTTGAGATAATACCATCATCAAACAATGTGTCTTATAAAAAAATAAGTGGGCCACAATCATGATCCACTTCTGACTGGTGTAATGTATTTATTTACCAGTGCTGTGTATCGAAGTACCACAGGGGGTGGTTTCAATAACAGAAATGAATTATCTCTCTTTTTTTATATATTTGCATTTGTTTTATTTTTAAAAGTTTTCTTTTATTTTTGACAATCTTAACATAATTAGGGTAAAAAGGTTCAAGCACTACAGGAGGATGGGCAAGACAATTAGTTCCGTATTGTTTCCTTAATATATCTGATGTGAAAGGAGATTTTAAGGGAGAAGCCCCTCCCAGTCTCCCACCCACCCCAGGTCCCAGATGTGGGGCATGCTCCGAGGGTCTCGCTCAAGTGGTTCCGATAATCCAACAATTCTGAACTGCTGCCACTCTCACCACCCCAAGCACGATGCAGTTGTTGGAGATTCCACTGGTTGACATAGTCCATCATAGCATCTCCGTTTGCCCAATATTTTCATTGCCAACATATAACTGAGGTGATTGAATGACTTGTTCTGTCCTGTTGTTTGATGGGTAGAGTTCTGAGTCCAAAAGCTCGATTGGGGGGATCCCCACAGAATCTTTGTCTGATTCCCTGGAATTATCTCTCATAGTCCTAGTAACTACAGGTGCAAAGTCATGGTGTTGGTAGAATTCCATCTCTTAGTGGTAGAGAATCAGTGTCAGGCCTCTCTCCTAGCTTCTGGCGAGAGCTGGCAGTCTAGACATTGTTTGGCTTATGGATGCATCTTCCTTTCCTCTGCATTATCATCACATGGTTCTGCCTGTGTCTGTAGCCATGCAGATTGCTGTTTATGCAAGGACATCAGTCAGTCTGAAGTGGGATCCACCTGTTCTGTTGGGACTTCATCCTAACCAATGTCTGCAAGAATCAGATTTCCTGGGCCCAGATTGGTGGCCTAGTAGCTAAATTCCTTGCCTTGAATGCATCGAGATCCCATATGGGCATTGGTTCTGATCCCAACAGTCCTGGATCCCATCCAGCTCCCTGCTTGTGGTCTAGGAAAGCAGTCAAGGACAGCCCAAAGCCTTGGGACCCTGCACCCATGTGGGAGACCTAGAGGAAGTTCCTGGCTCCTGGCTTTGGATCGGCACATCACTGGCCATTGCAGTTACTTGGGGAGTGAATCATCAGATGGAAGATCTTCCTCTCTGTCTCTCCTCCTCTCTGTATATCTGACTTTCCAATAAAAAGAAATAAATCTTTTTTAAAAATCAGATTTCCTAATAAGATCATAGTCTGGGGGCTATATATCCATAGTCTGGATTAGGACTTCAATATGTAAATTTTGGGCCACCCAATTCAATTTGTAGCACTAGGTTGTGGTAGAAGGATAATAACATTTATGAATAAGAAATTACTTTTCTTGCATTCACATGCTTGGGGTCCAGTGTTAGAGAAAAACAAATCTTTAGCTCCTTCTTCCCATTTGTTCAGAGCCTTATTAGGCTTGTTAATACAGTTTTTCTTTAAGGTTTATTTATCTTTATTGGAAAGGCAGGTATACAGAGAGAAGGAGAAACAGAGAGAAAGATCTTACGTCCACTGGTTCACTCTGCAAGGACTGCAGTGGCCAAAGCTGAGGCAATCCAAAACCAGGAGCCAGGAGCTTCTTCAGGGTCTCCCATGTGGGTGCAGGGTCCCAAGGTTTGGGGTCGTCCTTGACTGCTTTCCCAGGCCACAGGCAGGGAGCTGGATGGGAATTGGAGGAGCTGGGACATGAACTGGCACCCATATGGGATCCTGGTGTGTGCAAGGCACGGACTTTAGCCACTAGGTTACTGTGCCGGACGTTTTACAATTTGAAAATGAATAGTCCCTAACAAACCAGGCTTTTCATCCTTGCCAAGAAGCAGGACAGAGTCTTATTAATTTTTTAAAAAGAAAGAAAGAAAAAGTCATTCAAAGTAAAGCTACCTTTTATTAGCTTATTTCTTTAGATTCAGAGGAGTTAAAAGCATTGTTCAGAGGCCAAAGTAAAGTACTTAGAGTCATTCAATAACAGCCAGCAAGAGAGCTCAGGATGACATTGCATTGGAGCAGCCGATATCACCAGGACCGCTTCTGAAAGTTCTACAGGTTGTCATGAGATGAAATACTGAATTCTAGAGCAGAGTGGGAACTTAACTGGTGGAGTAAACTTATGCTGTTAAACTCAAATGATCCCTAAACTATCGGCCATTATAAGGATGAAGTGTTTTTATTGGACAGCTCATATTCTGTTATTCATTGTCTTCTGTCGTATTTGTAAAGACCATTCAGAAAAGATATCACACCGGTTACAAACCCCTCAAAGTACCTTATTTTTGTTTGTTTTATGCTTGAAAAAATTTGCTTAATTTATTTAAAGTCAGAGTGATAGAAGAAGAAAAAGTCTTCTATCACTGATTCATTCCCCAAATGGCTATAACAGCTGGAACTGGGCCAAGGTGAAACTAGCAGCCGGGAGTTCCATGCAGGTCTCCCACATGAGTGACAGAGGCTCAAGCATTTCAGCCATGCTCTGTGGCTTTCCCAGACATATTAACAGGGAGCTGGATCTAAAGTGGAAGTATCTGGGACCTGAACTAGTGTTCCAATGTAGGTTACAGGCATCCCATGTAACTCCTTTACCCATCATGCCACAACGCTGGTCCCAAAGTATCATCTTTTTGTTTGGTTTGTGTATGTGTTTGTTTTAGTTTTAAACATTTAGTAAAGTTCATAGATACAATTCAAAATGTATAATGGTATTTCTTTCCTCTCTCCCTCTTTCTTTTATTTCTAAGGTAATATATTTTTAAAGATGTACTTATTTATTTGAAACTCAGAGCTACACAGAGAAGTAGAGGGAGAGAGGAAAAGAAGAGAGAGAGATAGAAATCTATTTTCCATTCTGATTCTCTACCCAAATGGTTACAATGGCCAGGATGAAGCCATGAGTCTGGATCTTTGGAAACTCCCATGTCAGTACAGAGGCCCAAGCACTTGGACCATCTTCCATTGCTTCCCCAGGAGCATTGGCAGGGAGCTAGATCAGAAGATGCACAGCCAGGAGTTGATTCAGCACTCATATGGATGCTGGCATTTAAGGCAACTGCTTTTCCTACTACAGCATATTAGCCATGAAATTTTTTTTTTAGCTTACATTATAATCAGATTCTTAATGCTACACCCCAATAAAAAGTTCAACAAATAAATAGTTGAAGAAAGCAAACAATAACAACAACAACAAAACAAGGAGGCAACGTTAATAGCTCAACTGGCTAATCCTCCATTTGCAAATACCGGCATCCCATATGGACACCAGTACATGTCCTGGCTGCCCCACTTCCAATCCAGCTCCCTGCTTGTTGTTGCCTGCTAAAGCAGTAGAAGATGGCCCAAAGCCTTGGGACCCTGCATCTGTGTGCAAGACCCAGAAGAAGCTCCTGGCTCCCGCTTTACATCAGCTCATTTGTGACTGTTGCAGGCATCTGGGAAATGAACCTGTGGACAGAAGATCTTTCTCTCTATCTCTTCTCTCTAAATCTGCCTTTCCAATAAAAATAAATATAAAAAAGCACCTAGTTTAACAAGGCCATGTACCTGATTTTAAGAAAGGAAAAATTGCATAACCTAAAATAAATCATGCAATTTCAGAAGTCTGGACACCATCACAGGCAGAACTTGTGAGCAAAGCTGGCCTTATTGACTTTCTTCCTGGAAAACAGCCTGATTGGGCGCACTCCAGACACAGCTTCAAACTCATGGAAAAGTCTGGAAATCTCTTCCTCTGGCATATTTTTTCCCTTGGAAAAATTTCTTGATTCAGAGTAATTTCTAGTTCAGTAAACCCTCATGGTTCTCAATAGGTAGTAGAATTTATGTATCCTGCTAGGCGAAGACCGTTGCATGATTCTCTGTGCAGTTATGGTATGGTCTGTCTAAGTGGATTAGACTATGCACACAGTTGTTAGCTGTATGACACTGAATTTTGGCTCCTTACTAAGACACTCTTCATAAGCACTTATGACTTTCAACACCAGCAGTTTTCCATTCAGAATGTTTGATCCCAAGAGCCATTTGAGAAGAATCACTTCTTCAGTGAACCTACTCCTCATTTTACTTCCTTCTCCACTCTTCCAAGAAAAGCATTCCTTGACTGTATGACAGCCAGCATAGCCCTGTTGAAAAGGAGGAATTAACTAGTCTCGTGGCAGAATAGGATGACTGACCCTGAGCACTCCCTGGGACTGAAGCAAGCTTGCATTTGGATGCCTGTCTGTAACTTACTGGCCCAATCCTGTGGAGCTGTCAAAGGAATAGTGTTCTTTTTAAATAGTGTCTTTATTTCAAAAACTGCATTCCAGACAGATATACTCTCTGCAGAGCAGTAGTCTCACCCACCACCAAAATGTCACAATTCCTTTAGGGCAAGCTGGAACTGTTCCAAGGACATAGGCTGGCTGTAGGCAGGCACACTGATGGAATGGGAGGCAGAGCAGCAGAGAAGGGTAGCTGGGAAGCTGGATTACGGAGAGTTGGAGTGTCAACCTTTTTTTTTATTACATCATACCGCCTCTTTAGTTTTCTTGATCTCGCTGGAAACTCTGGGGACCACAACTCTTCCTGTAGAAATACAAAGGGGCTTCTCAAAGTTTATGTTAAAAAAATGAAATGAAAAGATTAATTTTGCCACAGAAAACATTTCTAAACGAATGTGTCCTTTCTTCTCACGTGACACTTTCTCTGTGAATCTTTTTAAGACTTCCCATACATTCCAAGTTAAATCAGAGTATTTTTTAGTAGTTGTGGGTGTTCCTACAAGTTCCAGATACCCACAGTTGAACCACCTACACAGTAGGAACAAAGTGATAGCAATTGCCTTATAGATGGGTGTCTGAGAGCTGGTAAGTATGAACTAAAACCTGCTTAGATCCATCTTAGATCC